TCAGTGGTCACATAATGTTAGGTTGTCTCTCCTTGTGATGTTAGCAGCTACTGATGATTTTTGCCTATATTCATTATTAGATCTGTTATTTCATTAGAGTATAAAATGGTGATATTCTATCCATTCTCCTTTATTTATTAGACTGTGAACTTTGAAGCAGAGCAATTTCCCTTAATTAACTCTTTGGCTACCATGAGGCACAAGTCTTGCAAGGCAGGCTTTACTTCTTATCTAGTACTTTTGAAAGGCGCTTATCTGAGAGCTCCTGTGGTTTTAAGGGATGCCTAAATTTTGCCTTTATTTAATTGTAGCTTGTCCTACTTTTAAACAGTAGGATGTTTACAGGATGCAGTTTCACATTGTGGTTTAATATGGATAGATTTATGGTTAAATGGGAATATCCTATAGGATTTAGTGTTAACACTCTTGAAGAGGACCATACTGAGAAGCATTCAAATGTTCAACAAGCAGCTTTCCATTGTTCAGCAGCATTTCACAAAAGCTACTAAAATATTAAACTCTTTTTTGAAAGGTGATCAGCTAAGTAATATACAAAAAACAAAGGTGCATGCCAATAAAAGTGTTAGCAACTGTCTATTCTCTTTTTCTATTCAAGGAAATGTCATGGGGGTGTAGCGGCTTTGGAATCAGACAGATGGGGTTTGAATTCCCCTTTACATGTGAGGACCTTGAGCAAGTTGCTCTAAAAAAACACACACAAAAAAAAACCCGTTGCTGTCCAGTCGGATTCATACTGACCCTATAGGACAGAGTAGAACTGTCCCATAGGGTTTCCAAGGCTGTAATCTTTATGTGAGTAGATGGTCAGGTCTTTTCTCTCACGGAGAACTGATCTTTTGGTCAGCAGCCGAGCGCTTAACCATTGCACCACCAGGGTTCCTGCAAGTTACTCTACGTATCTGATATGTAACAAGAGAATCTGAAGTATCAGTGAATATTCTAAAATGTTACACATTTCTAAAGCATTAGAAAATACATATTTAGCAAAAGTCTCTTTTTCATTACTTTGGTGGGGGTAGGGATGAGGTGGGGAATGTTGCAAATCGCCAGGTATTGTTAATTTAAAACAGTAAAAATTGCTGTATTGAGAACATGGCATCATTGATGCTCAGGCCAGTGGTACTGCAGTCAGTCCTACGCTGAAGTCCTTCTTTCACAGCACTGATGGAGCTGCATTTGAGACCAGGCAGGTCTACACCAAAGGATCCTGTAAGGCAGTTTAGGGAGAGGGAACTGGGCAAATGCCAGAGTTAAACTTGTCTTTGGTTCCACTAAGGGTATGATGGAAGACTAAGCACCAGTGAGACAGAAATGCACTCTAAATTGACTAGAAAATAGCCATAATATACCTAGACGTTTCTATTTCATTATTGTTAACCTTAGCCCCATGCCTCAACCTGCTCTCTTTTCTTTTTTCCCTCTTCCCAGACTGAGTCAGTACTATCCCATTCCTAGTTTGGCTCCCTGCCTTATTGGAGCCCTATTATCCCACAGTTGTTTCATCTTTTGTGACAGCGCAAACACAATTTCATAGTTGTTAATTCATGGGGCATCCAAATGATTTCCAAGTCGTTGAGAAAAATGTATAAACACTGGAAAATGTATCCCTACCCCCTAATTTACATGGGTATCTATAGATTTGAAAGATATGAAAATTAAGAATAGTAGGGGTACAGGGTATAAACTGTTAATACACAAAAAGGATTTTACAAAGTATAGCTTATGTTCATATCTTGTCACTGTCTTAATCATGTGTATAATTTAAGTTTACATTTTTACAAACTTTTTATTGAAGTGTAATACACATACAGAAAAGTGGGATTTACATTTTGGGATTTATATATTTAAGGTCATTAAGTAGTGTCATATAGCCATGACTGCCTTATTAATTTCTGTGATGACCCCAAATACTGTTAAAATTGTGAATTCATGTGATGGCACGTTCTCATCTTTAAAGTAGTATTAAGTTCAGTTGTGCTGTGCTGCATCACACTTAGCTCTGAGTAGAGTCTAGAACAATGCATAGTTTTTTATATTAGCTAATGTGTCTTATGAGCTGGAACCAACTCGATGGCACATAAAAACAACAACAACAAAAAACATGTCTTATAACTCTTGAACTCAACAAGCTGACAAGCTGAATTAAGGATAAAGTTCAACCTAGACCTTCAAGGTTATACTTTTTACACACATACACACACACACATTCGAGAACAATTTATAGTTTCCTTAACAACGAATATGTTAACTACAAAAAGTAAAAAGATTTTGCAACGGAGAGTTGGAATGGAAACAATTTCTGAGATAGAGATCAAATTGTGCTTATAGACAACCATTACTGGCAGTTTTACTATCAGTCATTTCCTGTGGGAATAGTTCACTGGGATGGAAGTTTATGCCTCGACTCTTCATTAAATAGTTCTAGGTCCAGGGAATGAAAATATTTAGAAGTAGAAACACATATAAATTATAGTATAAAATTTCATAGCAGTACTTTCCAGAGATGAGAATTGATTACTAAACTGTTTCTTATTCATCACTGAAACTGACTCTAAGATAACACTAATACAGTATGGTCTAGTGGAGAGTTAGGCAATAGACTAGAAATTAAAGCCATTTGTTTCCTCTAAATTAAAACTGATATGAATTCAACAAATATTTATTCATTAGTACAGTACGTAGGATGCTACACTGGTTCTGTGGAGAGTGGAAAGGTGACCTAAATAGTCTCTGCCTCTATGGAGTTTATGATTTTTCTTATAAATGAGACAGGGCATGCATACAAATTGTATAAAACAAACAACAATAAATATACTACAAATGGGTATGAATAAAGTACTACTGGAGTTTGGAAGAATGAAAAATTACATCCATCTGGAAGATCAGAGACAACTTCATGAAGGAGAAGGCAGTTGAGCAGAGTCTTAAAGGATGAATAAGATTTCTGCAAACAGAGATGAAGGCAAAATTATTCCAGGATGTAGAGATTAAGTACTAATAAAGGTATAAACCAAAGCACATTTAAAGACTGGAGCCTCTGACTGGTGCAAAAGAAATTTACACAGGAAAAGATAGCTGGAAATAAGTTAGGCTATTTTCTTTTATTCAATTATGCAAGCATTCACTTATTCAACAAATATGTGCAGATACCGTACAGGTTTAGGAGTGCATTCACAAGCAACTCAGACAAAAGCCCCTTCTAATATATAAAGACTAAAATGTGTAAATCTGAAGTCAGGGGTGATGGCAACACTGATTCTTATCAATCACTGATTTCAGTTGATCTGTGACTACAAGAGGTACTTTAGCTTAGAACTGATACACAGAACATGGGATTTAGTGTTTGTGGGAGAGAATTAGAATTTCCAAATAGCACTGTTTCTCAATTTCAATCCAATTGTTCTCAACTCACTGTTTTAACTGAAATGAAATGTTAACTGTTTTTTTTTTTTAAATATTTGAAAGCTGCAAAACTATGTTTTTAATATGGTAGTGTTTAGGCAGGGTGGTGGGGCCACTCTATTTGCAGCTCCAGCTTACAAGTTTTGGTTAATGTGATAATTTTGTGCTAGAATGCATTAACTGAAAAAAGAAAAACAGACTTAAAGGAGAGACACCCGTTGGTGATTCTTTTCTTTCCCTCATTTTTTTTTTTTTTTTTGGTGAAAAAATACACAGCAAAAGATACACTATTTCAACAATTTCTACATGTGCAATCCAGTGACAAATTCAAGTCGTGCAACCTTTCTCGCTATCCTTTTCCAAATTATCCCGGTGATTTTCTTGACAAAAGGATTCAGCTAACTCCTCGTGCAATTAAAATGATTCGGAACTTTTCTAGAACACACTGCACTAAATGAGATACACTTATACTTTGTTCTTCAAAACAATCTCTGTTTTCTCTCAGACTTAAGACCTCCCATCTTAGACAAGCCTCAGGCAATGGTGACGATGGCGGATGCTAACGGTGATGGGGTGACGGTCAGGACACTTTCCCTTTCTGCGGCTCCCTAACCAAAACCTTGCAGCCTCCAGTCGTCCCAGACTCACCCTCCCGCTTGTTTTTTCATCCTTCCATAACTCTTACTGCACCCCTCCCGCACTGAGCGCTAGCCGTTGCTTCCTAGGTCTGCTTTACCTCACCCTCAACCCGGCTCCCTTCCCGCGCCCTCCGCTTCGCCCCGCGCCGCGCGCCCCGTCGCGGCCCGGAGGTCCGGGGCATGCGCGCTGCGGCGCCGCCGCCCTCCCCCACCCCTTCCAGCGGCACAGTTATGCCAAGTATGTGAGGAGCCCGCGAGGGCCAGCGCCGGTCATGGGGAGCAGCCGCCGCCTCCGCGAGCGCGGCATTCTCTGGAGCGGAGCTCAGACCTCTCCCCGAGGCGGGGGCAAGCCTGGTTGCTGAGGCGGAGGGAATGGGCGATCCTCTGAGGAGGACGTTGTCCAGGCTCCGGGGGAGGCGGGGTCCCCGCGGCGCCGGGGGTCTCGGGCTTCGGGCGGCCGCTGTAGCGACTGTGGCGGCCGCCTCGGGGGACTCCGGGAGTGCTGCGGCCGTCCCTGCACGCGAGCACGCGGGAGGACCTCGGCAGAGCCTGGGGCAATCCCCGCAGTCGCCTCCGCCGTGGGGGATCGAGGCGCGGGTTCTGGGAGGGCGCCCGGAGCAGTCGAGGGCGCTGGGGCCTCGACCATGCGGCGGAAAGGAGGCCGACCCCCCGGGCAGCGGGCTCACCGGTGCCTCCTTTCTGCACGCTCCGCGGGGCCCCGAGGGCAGCGGAGAGGAGGACGACGAGTACGCCGCAGACTATTACGAAAACCTGCCCGGCGGCTCGCAGCCCACGTCCCAGGCTGAGGGGGCGGAGGCGAAGTGGCGGCCCCCGCCTTCCCCCGCGGCGGGCTCCTCCCCGGGGGCGGAGGGTGGCCGTTTGGAGACGGGCAGGCTGCGGACCCAGTTGCGAGAGGCCTATTATCTGCTGATCCAGGCCATGCACGACCTGCCCCCTGACTCGGGCGCGCGGCAGGGCAGCTGGGGCTTGGCAGATCGCTGCTGCCCTTCGGGAGCCTGGGCTTCGGGCCAGCCGCCTTCCCCCAGCGGCGCTGCGGACCGCCGAGACTGGGAGCGGGGAGGCGGCGACCGCTCTCGGCAGCAGGTGTCCCCGCCCCGGTCGCCTCCGAGGGAGTCGGGGGGAGGCCGCCTGCGGACTCCTCGGATGCAGCTGTCCTGCAGCAGAAGCCTCGAGAGCCTCCCGGTGGATGTCAAGCGGCCTCCCTTCCAGCGGTGGCCGAGCGACAGCTGGATCAGGTGCGGGACACGCGGGGACCGGGACGCTCCCCCGCCACGTGGAGGTGGAATGGACGGCTGGAACCGCGGTAGCTCCCCGGCCGCGGCCCCAGCCGGCTTCCTGCTTCCCCAGTCCAAGGACCCCGGTCGCTCCTCGCGGAGCACTTTCAGGGATCCTGCGGGGTCCTCTGTGATACGTAGCGGCAAAGGAGACGTCCAGGAGGGGCCCCCCTTCCTCAAGCCGCCCGCGGTGACAGTCAGAAAGCTGCAGAAGTGGATGTACAAAGGACGCCTTCTGTCCCTGGGAATGAAAGGTCGCGCCCATGGGACACCCCCCAAAGTCACCGGAGCGCAGACAGCCTCCCCAAATCTGGGCACTTTGAAACTTCATGAAAGCCAAGCCCTCGCGGTGCCTACAGACCAAAGAATTACCCTGACAGGTAGAGTACTTGGCAATCAAAATGCTAACACTGAGAGCTTTCATGTTTACCAACTAGGCTTCTGCCTTAACGAAGAATAGGAATGTTTTTGCAGACAGGTGCGTGAACGTGCTAAAGTCAGTGTCATGTAAGTGGCAGCTTAAAGCGATTTCGAGGTTACTTAGTATAATGCATTCACTCATTTTGCTTTTTTAAAAGGAGAGTGGCATGAAGTTTTTTTTTTATTATTTCTGTAAGAACCGATGTGCCTACTTGTCAGCACAGAAGTGCGTAAAGGTTAAGTTCGCCACACTTTTAGTAGTTTTAGAGAGGATAGTGCTGCCTTGGTTTTTGTTCTTTGTAGCTCTAGGCAAATCCGTAGACTTTTGTGGAGTTTGTGAATTTGAATTTGATCCAAGGTAGACTTTATCAGCTTCATAAACTGTCATTTTACTGATTATACCTTTTTCCCCTCCCACTCTGCCACGCAGAAAACGCACACACACCAAGCCAAACCAAAGCTATCATGAGTAAAAAAGTTTTTTTAGTCAGGTAGGATTTCACATACTCCTTCCCGCCACCCCTTCGGTGTGTGGGGGGGGGGGCAACAAAGGGAGTTACCTTTTTCGTGTGGAAATCAAGGGTTTCCTTCTTAACTACATTTTTTTTTGCGCATGTGAATGCGCAGTGGTTAAGCGCTTGGCTGCTAAAAGGAAGTTGGAATCCAGCAGTTCCTCTGAGGGAGAAAGATGTGGTCTTTCAGTCTCCCGTATAGATTACAGCCTCAACGGGTTTTTCAAATCCAGTGTCTTATTTGGGCACTAGTGTTTTAATCAAAAGAAAGATGTTTCACATGTACTTTTAAAAAGAGTGCACACTTTTAAACTTATTTGTAAACTAAAATCTTGTTTATATTAGAAGTAAATTAGTTTAAAAAATTATATCTGTTCTTAGAATAGGATTTAGGTCTCTATATGCATGATTTTTAATTTTCACTGAAAGTGTAGTTTATCAGTTGTAGAAATCTCTTAGCTGTGTTGTAAATAACAAAATATGTTGTCTAAAAGAGGTATAATACCTTCAAACTGAGCAAAAAACAAAATGGTCTTTTGACCTACATACTTAAATATAAAGATTTTTAGTGATCTTAAAGACTTACGTGTCAATAATTTAAAGAAGATTAAATGCTGAGATGTAAAAAATGTGTTCAAAGTAGTTGGCAGTTTTTCTGGTAAGAATTACAAATCTTACAGGATTGGGTTTATACAGGTTAACTTTGTTTAACCAATAAGCAGAAAACAGTGGGGGGAAACAAAGTTCACAAAACTTCTAACGACACAATGAAGACAAATCAAATGGTTTATTTTGTATGCGTATAAAAGAAAAAAATTAAAGCTCACGCAAACTTGAAAAGTTTTTGAAAGTATAAATCTCTAATATACAAACTTTTCCCTCAAATTTAAATATTCCATTTCATTGGAATAAAAGGATGTTGTTGTTGTTAGGTGCCATCCAGTAGATTCTGACTCATAGCAACCCCATGTGACAGAGTTGAACTGCCCCATAGGGTTTTCTAGGCTATAATCTTTATGAAAGCAGATTGCCAGGTCTTTCTCTTGAGGAGCTTCTGGGTGGGTTTGAACTGCCAACCTTTCAGTTAGTAAAAGGTTAGCAGCCAAGTGATTAACCATTTGTGCCACCGGTGCTCTGTATGAAAGGATAGTGGAATGTAAATTCTTTATGAAGTTTATTTTAAAATATGCATTTCCAGGAGAAAAGTGTTTGTAATCCTTTATTAGATTTCATTGCCACAATATCTTTACCTCCCCTGATCTTGGCCCAGTTAACCTTTTGTAATCTAAATGTCAGCCAGTACTAAATCTGTATAAAACTTTAGTCAGACATTTTTTACCCTTTTGTTACAGAGGTAAAACATTTACCATCTGATGGCTTTTAATGCCTTCAGTCCTAGTGTAAACATTCTAGGGTTTAAAAAATAGTAATAAAATAGCTCCTCAAAGGAATGAATTAGTTGATTTTTCCACTGGGAAACTAACCAAATGAAACTAATAACTTTAAAAGAAACCAAAATGAAACATTAGAACTATGATATATATGTATAGCTAATTACATAGGTATATTGAAAACTTTTGAGACCATGTGACAAATGGAAGCCAAATGATTTTCTGTGCGATTTCTGGCTCCTACTAAAACCAAACCCGTTGCCATTGAGTCAGTTCCAACTCAGAGCGACCCTGTAGGACCGAGTAGAACTGCCCCATAGGGCTTCCAAGGAGCAGCTGGTGGATTCAAACTGCTGACCTTTTGGTTAGCAGCCGAGCTCTTGTGGGTCCTACTAAGAACCACTGAAACTTTTGCTAGTAGAGTCGGCGCTCCCTGCGGATGGAAGATATTCAGGAAAAAAAAAAGTTCCCCAAAACAAAACTTGAATTTGCTGCAGGCTGAGCAGTGTGCTGAATTCACACAAATGAAATGAAGCATACCCTGCTGTAGCCTCCCACCATTTCACAGATTCTCAGTCTCTCTTTAGCACTTGTTGTTTGAGCTTGCAAAGACTGAGAAAGCATTAATTAACCCTTTCATGACCCAATTATTTTTTTCCTTTTAATTTTTTGTTGATACTATGTGTTTTCCGTAACAGAGGGCATGCTGAATCATTGAGTGTGTCTGAATTTTTGGTAGGTAATACGGTTTTTGTTTTATGCCTCATTCCACAGATTGTACACTTGGAGTCTAGAGGTACATATGCGTACCCCCTGTGAACACAAATTTTACCCCCATAGTCCAGAGGTACATATATATACCAAACAAAAATTTTCAAAATTCATGTTTTTCCTACCCAAAATTCCGTGATTCAGCACCACCTCATACAATACCCTGTAAAAACAGTAAATTGCAGCACATGCCTGTTTTTTCTATGTCAAACTGTTATATAGGGCCCTGCCTGCTGGCAGCACATACTGTCAATGGGACAGAAGCTTTCCAGTGAACCCCAGAATTACAAAAAGTAAATGGTGTGCTGCTGGTCCTGAAAGGGTTAAGTGTTAAGTGTAACCATTAGCAACTATTTACATAGCATTTACATTGTATTAGATATTATAAGTAATCTAGAGATGCCTGCATAGGTTATATGCAAATATAGCACCATTTTATATAAGGGACTTAAGCATCCTCAGATTTTGGTATCCTCCAGGGTCCTGGAACCAATCCCCCACAGATGCCTAGGGATGACTGGACTATAATGCAGTTATTTTGATTTGATGCAGTTGGGTATTTAGTATTCACAGATTAGTTAATTTGTTCTAATTGAGATGATTATTTAAGAAATCTAAAGTCATTGCACATAGTAAATATTGTCAAGTTTCTGCAAGCTTTAAGATTAGAAGGAATCAATTTATTTGCCAACTAAATCTTAATGAATTTATACTGCTCAAGAGAGCGTTGGTGGCATGGTGGTTAAGAGCTAACGAAAAGGTTGGCTGTTCAAATCCACCAGCCATTCCTTGAAAACCCTTTGGGGCAGTTCTAACCTGTCCTACAGGGTTGTTATGAGTCGGAATTGACTCGACCACAGCTGGTATACTACTCATAAGTAAATTCAAAGGCCCCAGGTTGAATTGAACTCTTTTGTCTTTTTATTGCTTAAAAAAAATTAGCCTACTTTGACTCCATTTTTCCTGCTACATGATCTCTGAAAGAAAAAAATTAGGGCCTGTAACTTGTTAATATTTTGTCTAAAATCTTTAGACGGTTCTTTTAAAGTAGTATTAATTTGTCAGTATGACCTTGTGCATTATATCTTAAAGTGAAGTTGACACTTACTAGGATGCAGACTCCTGTCTATTTCTCCTAGTTTCTCAATTATTTATAGCTCTGATTTCTTATATTTATGAGCTGCATTATCTTTGTGTATTTTTTCAGCAAATTCTGTTATGCATTGGCGCTCTTCAAGATTAGCCGCAATAGGCATGTAACTTTTGGCTGTCTTCTAACTTTAAATCCCTCTGAGAAATTCTGACTTGTGGCCCTAGAAGCAAGTCTAGTTGTTTTGTTTTGGGCTGTTTTTTTTTTTTTTGGAAGAGTGCCATAAAACACTGGTGGTGTTTGTTGTTGGAAAACTTTGAAAACTACAGATTCAGCAGAAAATAGTGTTGTGTTGATTTGAATGTCCTACATTTCTGGATCATTGATTCCCAAGAGATATGTGACATTTGTGTTTTGAGAACTACTAAGACCACATTCTAGACCTTTGCCACTCAAAGTGGGATTCACAGTTCTAGAGCAGTGCTTTTTATACTTAAGGGGTATGTGAATTCCCTGGAGATCTTATTAAAATGCAGATTCAGTAGGTGTGGGGTAAGACCTATGTTATGGATTGAATTGTGTCCCCCCAAAATGTGTGTCAACTTGGCTAGGCCAAGATTACCAGTATTGTGTGGTTGCCTACCATTTTGTTATCTGATGTGATTTCCTATGTGTTGTAAATCCTACCTCGATGATGTTAATGGGGCAGGAGTAAAGGCAGTTATGTTAATCAGGCAGTACTCAATTTATAAGATTAGGTTGTGTCTTAAGCCAGTCTCTTTTGAGATATAAAAGAGAGAAGTGAGCAGAGAGACGTGGGGACCTCATACCACCAAGAAACAAGAGCCAGGAGAATAGCGTGTCCTTTGGACCTAGGGTCGCTGTGCTGAGAATCTCCTCGACCAGGAAAGATTGATGACAAGGACCTTCCCCAGAGCCGACAGAGAGAGAAAGCCTTCCCCTGGAGCTGGCACCCTGAATGGGGACTTCTAGCCTCCTAGACTGTGAGCAATAAATTTGTTTGTTAAAGCCATCCACCTGTGGTATTTCTGTTACAGCAGCACTACATAACTAAGACAACCTGAGATTCTGTACTTTCACAAACTCCCAGTGTAGATGATGCTTTTTGGTGGACTACACTTTGAGTAGTAAGATTCTGGAGATCACATGTCCCCCCAGTCACATTCTACCTTATTTTGATGCTTAAACTAACTCCTATTAGAGCAAAGCACTTGATTTCTTTCTGGTTTGGTTTTATATGTGTGAATTTATACTTACCATTTATGAATAATGAATTTGGGCAATTTCCTCCATATTGGTCCCACCTTATACCAATAAATAATTGTGAGAGTTTGGAATCTGCAAGAGAGGAGGCCATACAGTATAGTGGTTAACAGAATAGAGACTCCAGAGGCAGATTGTCTGGGTTTCTAATTAGACCCTACCACTTACCAGGCTTGTGTCCTTGAACAAGTTACTCAACCTTGCCCAAGCCTCAGTCCTCATGTTCCTCATTTGTAAAATGAAGATGATAGTACCTACCTCCTAAGGTTGCTGTGAGGATGAAAAAAGATAATCCACTTAAGGCATTTAGTACCGTGCCTGGCACTTAGCTGTTATTATCAAGAGAAAGGCAAGCAGATTCTTTGAGAATATTGCCTTGTACCAGATCATTAGGATTCTGGATGAAGAAAGAGGGAAATAGAAGAAGTTGAGGAGTACTGCCTTGAGGAGTATTGGAAATTGAATTAGAGGAAACCCCTTCAGGGGCCCTTATTCATTCTGTTCATCTTTTGTGCTTCTTTCCCTTGCTCCTCCCCATTACTTTTGCGGAACTGAACCCAGTTGCAAGGATTTCTTCTCTGTTTTCCTGTCCCTAAAACTAGCACACAGCTTTCTTCTTAAGGGTTTTTATTACTATTCACAAGGGAGAAAAAATAAAAATAGGAAAAGTGCTTCTTTCCTTTTCCTCTCCCTCCCCTCCCCTCCAATTTAGATTCATCTGGGAAAGATATATATATATATATATGCATCTCACATATATAAACCTAGAGCTTAAATTTATTCTGTTCATTTCATCTGGGCTACCTGGCTTGACTCTGTAAGCAGGGACCGCTTATATTTATTTAGGAATCTAGCACGATGTTCATATGAATGCTTTTGTTTAGGATTTTTTTTAGGAGAAGTAAGCAAAAGCAATAGTTTGTGCAGTAGAAATTTAAAAATGAGGAAAAGCTGTCTGTAGATAACAGTACATTTTTGGCGAGGATTGAAATATATCTCAGAATGTTTGCTGATGCTTTTGAGCTGGGGCACTGGTTAAACGTTCAGTAATAGTCACCTAGGTTTATTTTGAAATAATAGCTGAGAAAACCAAATTGGATTGAGTAGTTCACTGCTATTTAAAATATTTTTCTGAGTGAAAAACTTTGAATTGTCACCACCGCATTCTCTTACAGGCCTTTAAAGGGAAATGACTTTAATTAGAATCTGAAAATTATACCATAACATTCATAGTTGCAAGACAATGAGGATTTTTTTTTGCCTTGCAACTTTGCATACTTATTTTTATATTTTATTTATGCCTTCTTTTAATACATATATATCATCTGAGGCTAAAGGTAAGGTTATAAATCTATGCTAATTGGTTTAAATATTAATTTTAGCATAAAATGAGAGAGCAGGGAAGATTGCAAATACCTTTCCATTTCTGTGTAATTTATGTTCTATACATCTGTTTAACTTAGATAAAAATTAAATATTTAAAATTATTTATAAAAAAGTGCTTAGGAAAATTTATTGCCCTTGATAATGTGTTGCTTATATTCAATTTTAATAATGAAATAAATTAGGCTTTTATCAGAAATTATAATAATGTAGCTGTTCATATCTAAATTTAAACTTCAGCATCATGTATTTTGAAACATTCGAAAATAATCAGATTATACAAGTTTCAGGTTTTTGTAGTTCATAGTTTTATTAAGAATACTTGAAGTGGGTCTCACGAGTATAACCATTTTAATATCACACTTCCATTAAATGCTTGTATCAATAGAAGTACCAACTTGCTTACATATAGGATGCTAGTAGCTTTATTTTTCTCATTGCAGTTCGTTGAAATGTAGTAAAAGTAATAATGTATTTAAGAAATCATTTATAGTATATGTCAAAAGACTCTGTTAGGTCTCAAGATAATATGCCTAGCTATATAAAATTCTAGTTGTTCTGAGAGCCTCCAGAGAAAACAATGAAGTGAGATGTAATACATAGCCATCTTGAGTTATTTAATTTCATAATTTTTGCTTCAAGCTTATAATTGTGTCAAAATTATGCATAAAACTTTGTGAAGATCTGAAATACTGTTAAATAACATGTGATTTGGGCTCAAATGTGAAATAGATCTAGATTTCAGTGCTCTTGACAGAAGATGAGGTCACTAAAAACCCAGAAGTCCCAGTGATTCCTGAGTATGTTAATTTTCCGTTCTTAATTTTAAGTGTAAAGGAGACAGAGCCGAAAATAAACTCTTGAATCTTCAGATTTTCATTAATTAAACTAAATCAATTCAAGATATTTATTGAATATTTGTTTTATGTTTATATGTTAAATACTGGGAGGGTGGGGTGCGTATCCTTAGCAGTAGAGGCCCAGGTGTACTGTTACAAACTTTGGACTCAGGAAGCTGACTTCAAATGCTGCCTTTTCCATTTACTAGCTAGGTGGTCTTAGGCAAGTTACTTGACTTTACTGAATCATACTTTATAGTTTTCAAAGTATTTTCTACTGTTATGTAATTCTCACAAGTAGCCGTCCTATAAGGTAAACTGGGTTGTTATTATCTCCATGTGCAGAAAGGGTCACCTACTTCCCTACTGTTAGTGGGTAGCATGATATGGGGGAGAGGGGTAAGAGTGTGGATTTTAGGGTTAGACAGGCTTAAGTCTGAATCCTGGGGCTCAACCATATTCTTCATATTCTTTTAAGCACATAGAGATAATTGTGCATGTCTCAAGATTGTTGTGGGGGCTAAATGAGGGTACCCGTTACGCATTGGCATGGAGTTGATTCCCACTCATAGCAACAATATAGGACAGAATAGAACTATCTCATAGGGTTTCCAAGGCTGTAAATGTTTACGGAAGCAGACTGCCTTATTTTTTTCCTGTGGAGCGGCTGGTAGATTTGAACTGCCGACCTTTCGGTTAACATCCAAGTGCTTAACCACTGTGCCACCAAGGCTCCTCTAAATATGGGTCCAAACCAAACCCGTTGCCTTCAAGTTTAATTCTGACTCACAGAGTTTCCAATGCTGTATACATCTTTACGGAAGCAGACTGCCATATCTTTTTCCTGTGGAGCCGCTGGTGGGTTCGAACCGCTGACCTTTCAGCTAGCAGCCAAGTGCTTAACCACTGCGCCACCAGGCCTGTCCCCTCAAATTGGAAAAGAATAAGTGAAATTTTATTTAGATTAAGATTATAGTGGAGTGGGAACATATTAGCAATTAATTTATCCAAAAATAACTCTGCCCACTTAGAGAAATAGATGTTCGAATTCAAGATCAAGTTCTCTCAACACGGTTGAATGAGTATTGCCTTGGAATGAACCTGAGTTCCTGAATGTGATTCTCCTTTTTAATTAAGGATAGGTAGGTAGGTGGTAGGAGTCTTGGTGGCACAGTGGTTAAGAGCTACAGCTGCTAACCAAAAGTTCGGCAGTTCAAATCCACCAGCCACTCCTTGGAAACACTATAGGGCAGTTCTATTCTGTCCTGTAGGGTCGCTATAAGTTGAAACTGACTCCACAGCAATGGGTTTAGGTAGGTGGTTGCGTGGATGGATGGATGGATGGATGGTACAAAGCTGCCAATTAAGACAGGCAAACTCTTTTATCTGGTGCCCAAGCAAAGGGGTAGTCGTCTGTTCTCCTGGAAGAAAAACTAACTGTGTTGTGCTTACCGTGAGACAGTATACTGGGTTCTAGACTGGGGCCAAGGAATTTTCAAGGGTAATTTTAGCTCTTTGATTTTTGTTTAGAACTTAAACCCTGCATGAGATGCTACTGCACTAAATGGTTAGGAAACAAATGTTATGTAGAAATTTTAGTAACCGGTAAGGCCTACTTTTTAAAAAGATTATTCAAAGTTAATATTTGTGTGAAGAGATAGGAATATTATGTGTTTTCTAATGACTTACTAGTCCTTGTAATAGTGAGTTGAAAATTATTCAAACATTAATTAAAGGGATACTGTGTACAAAGCACTTTATATGAGCTTTTTATAAAGTATATTTTGCTTAGGGTAAGGCTTTGCTAGCAGTGTAACCAAAAAACCAAACCCATTGCTGTTGTAGAACTGCCCTGTATGGTTTCCAAGGCTATAATCTTTATGGAAACAGACTGCCACATCTTTCTCCTGCAGAGCAGCTGGTGAGTTTGAACCACCAACCTTTTAGTTAGCAGCCGAGTGCATAACCACTGCATCACCAGGGCTCCTTGCCAGCACTATACCAAAAACACCAAACCCATTGCTGTTGAGTCGATTCTGACTCATAGCAACCCTATAGGTCAGAGTAGAACTGCCCCATAGAGTTTCCAAGGAGCACCTTGTAGATTTCAACTGCGGACCTTTTGGTTAGCGGACGTAGCTCTTAACCACTATGCCACCAGGGTTTCCTGCCAGCATTATAGCTTTTATAAATGCAGCCTCAGAGTTTGTATATCCTTTTTCTTAGACTTTTTATTGCACGTACTAACAGTATGATTTCTAAGTAACAGAAATCATATTTAAATGGAAAAATCCAAAATATTTCCTGTAGAATTTTGGTCCCTGAATGTGATTAATATTACTTTTCTTTTTTGAAGTAGTACTTTAATAACTGGTGTGAAGTGACCCGTCTTTCTGGTATACCAGGTATTATATTCTACCTTTTTTTCTTCTTTGTAACAGATTTATTTGAAAATGTCTACGAGTCTTCCATGAAGAGAAGAGAACTTGAAGAACTGAAGGATAATATTGAATTCAGAGGTCATAAGCCACTTAACAGCATCACTGTTTCAAAGAAACGTAATTGGCTGTATCAGAGTACTCTGAGATCTCTTAATCTGGAGGAAGAAAATAAAAAATACCAAGATAAAAGTAATTTGCCCATCTCACCCATGTCTCTGACTAAACGTCAGCTATCACAAGCATTCCCCAGATCATCTGAAGACTTTTGTACATATGTGGTGTGTAATGCTACAAACTCTTCATTCTCCAGAAACTCGTCTTTGGACTTTAATGAGGAAAATGATGCAGATGATGAAGGAGAAATATGGTACAACCCCATTCCTGAGGATGATGACTTTGCCTCTAGTTTTGGTGAGGCAAACCCTGCTGTTTTAAAGCTTCCTGCTCTCAGTTTGAGAGTATTGGCTGGTAGTGACCTGACCAAAGCAGAGCAGCACGCTGAAGACTTGCTGTGCTCTTCTGAACACACAGGTGATGTTCAGCCCACACAGTCAAATGAAATGAATCCCGTAGATTCCAGACATTCCCCAGAATTTGTGCAGCAGTATAAGCAAAGGCTTGGACACAAGACACAAGAAGGTATGATGGTGGAGGACAGTCCCATGTTGAAATCTCCCCTTGGAGGTAAAGATGATCATATGTCTGCCTTTCCTTGCGTTTTGAATTCTTTCACAGTAGCTAAAACTAAATATAGAAGATGTCTGTTGTATCCATGTACCCTTTCCTCATAAAATGAATATATTTTCACAAATATAAAGAAAACATAAAAAGGTTTACAAACATTTTTGTATAGTTGGTGGTTTAATTATTCCTCTCACAGACTTTGTTTTGTAATCTACTGTGCTTTAATATGCCAATCCTTTGAAATAGTAATTACTTTTCTCTTAGTTGAAAGAATGGAATCATGAGGAGTAGAAGAGACATATTCTTTATTTAAATCTTATTTTGCTTCATTCATTCACTTATACCTCGCCTAGCCACAACTGAGAAAGGTGTATTTTCAGTATGCTAGTAGTCATTATTTTGCTTAGCTTCTGTGCCCCGAGTTTTCCTCATGGGCAACAGAAAGGAAGAAGAGAAAAAGAAATGAGATAAAAGTAAAGACCTTGCAAATATCTGCTATAATAGTATGCAATCCAGAAAGGAAATCATTAAAGTTTGGTATATATTAAGTTGAACTATATAAAATTTCCATATTCAACCTTTTTTGATCTGCAGAACACAGCATTTCATATGGTTCAACCTAATGGTTTTATTATTCCTTGATTGCCTTTGATTTTCTGGTGTGCTTCTTTCTTTTCATATTTAGTCCCAGGTACACGACTCAGGACCCAGAGCATAAGGCATGTTTTAGTTGCAAGTACCAAATATTGAATTAAAAAGCAGTTCTATTTTATTCCATGTCTTTCATAGAATTTCAAATGATGTAGAATATTCAAAAATGTTGGGTGTAGCAGATGCTGTCAGTTCATTGCGTCTATTCCTTGGGTTTTACAACTTCCGTGGGAGCAACCTACTTCCAACCACAAGTACCTGCATCTCTGCCTGAAGGCTTTTTCAGAAGTCTTAGAGAGTTTCCTGCGGGGCGTCCTGAGAGTACCCCTCAACCAGTGACTGACAGGAGTTGATGTGTGACTATCACAGCTCCCTTATCCCTTGGGTAGGACAATTCTGAGGCAAGTATCCTACGTTGTTTACCAGAGTTTTCTCGAGGTGAAGCTGCAGTTGCCCATAGGGGTAGCAGGCTTTATAATTTACCTTGGTCAGGCTGCATTCCTTTCCTTGAATTTCCTCACTTCTTTGCTAGTGTTTCTGTCCTTTGCAAATAAACTACTTGGATTTTAATCCTTTTCTCAGGGACATTGGGACATGGAGTAAATATTATATTGTTAAAGAAAAAGGGAATTACACAATAGTGTATGATGTCAGTTTTGAAAGAAACACTGAAAAGCTATACTGAAAATATTAACTTGTTTTTACTATGGAATGTTTTAGACTAGTAAACCAGTAGAATTGTACTGTGATTTGTGGTACAAGGGATTGCTTTGTTCAGTTTATCAAACACTACATTTCTTATTAGCTGCTTACCAGAAAAGCCCAGCAGGCATAGTTAAAATAGTCCTTTCTCTATAAAGAAACCACTTATTTTTGTTAGGACATATAAAGGGGTGCGGCGGAGTGTTATAATAATACTTCTAAGAAGATAATTTAATTTACTGATCTTTGCAATGAATAAAAACTTTTTTTTCTCATTTTAATTGTGAGATGTAGGGGATAAAACAATGGGCTCAAGCGTAACAACGATTGTGAGGATGGCGCAGGACCTGGCCGTATTTCATTTTGTTGTTCATATAGGGTCACTATGAGTCAGAACCTACTCGACGGCACCTAACAACAACAGGGATAAAAATGCTACATAGATTAGCCTCTGATATTAGGGTCAGTAGAGATCTTCCTCTTTAAGGAATGGTTACACAAAGTATGCAAAATTAGTTTAAATTTCACATAATTGGGATAATACTAGATTTTATCAAAGTTATAGTTTAAATTTATATAATACTAGATTTTAATAGATACTTTCATTTTGCTTTATTAGTTTGAAAACTTACTAGGAACAAGTTCAAATTTTAAAATGAAATGATTAGTCTATACATAAATTTTTTAACTGGGGGATTGAACTATTTAACTTTTTTTTTTTTAATAGTATTTTATTGTGTTTTCGGTGAAAGTTTACACAGCAGTTCAGGTTCCCATTCAACAATTTCTGCACAAACAAGTTATTCAGTGACATTGGCTACATTCTTCACAGTGGGTGAACATTCTCATTATTTCCGTTCTGGTTGTTCCGTTTGAACTCTTTAACTTTTTGATAATAATTGAGAGAGGTCTTTAAAAACTATTTAATGTGTACGTATGGACAGAGTAATGTTTAGAAAGATGAATAGGCTAAAAGTGTAGTAGTTAAAAGTATGGGCTCTGAAGCCTGTGCTTAGGCTTGAGTCCTGGCTATGCCACTACCAGCTTTGTGATCCTTGACAAATTAGACAGCTCTGCACCTGATGTTCCTCCTGGAGAATGGGGTACTAATGGTATCTAACTCAGAGGGCTGTTGTGAGAACTAAGGGAGCATCTTTGCATGCTAAGTAACTCAGTAAATTTGACTGGTATTACTATCAGAGCCGTGGTGGTACAGTGGTTAAGAGCTCAGCTGCTAACCAAAAGGTTGGCAGTTCGAATCTACCAGCCACTCCTTGGAAACCCTATGTGATAGTTCTACTCTGTCCTATAGGGTTGCTATGAGTCGAAATCGACTCCATGGCAATGGATTTTTTGGTTTGGTATTATTACTACTTTTAATATTATTTTTACCAAAGTATTTATAATGGTTAATCACTAGATAGTGCAGTTTGGACCATTATTTAGTTGTATTAAAAATTTTTTTTTTTACCAATAGGCCTGAATTATTTTGACATTCAGAAAAGAATAAAGCTATTTTGTGTAGAGAAAATTTCAAAAGTATTTAAAGGTTTTACTCTTTGTGAAAATTGAAAAATTTTGAAAATTATACCTTTGCACTGATGTTTAACATTGAAAATTGTACGGAAAAGTCTTTAGTTTAACTTTTGAGATTCTAGGGGGTTATTGTATATGAATAATGTAAGAAGGAAAATGTCCTAACACTTTTGAGAATTGTACAGTTAGATTTATGATATTCAGTATTCAGCTATTTTGATTGACTAGAGTTCATTCTATATAATCTTTGGTGATAGGCTGCCATAGAATTTTAGAACAAGGAGGGGCTCTTAGCGGTCAAAATTATAAACTTGTTTGGTTATTAACTTTTTTTTTTAACCAGCACTCCTTTGGGTTAAAATTGAGATTTTAGAGGATTATAAATATAGATGAAATACTTTTAGTATAGGACTTCTGGTTGAAATAAACATTTTATTGTTGTACTTTAAGTGAAAGTTCACAATTCAAGTTAGTCTCATACAAAAATTTATACATACATTGTTATGTTACCCTAATTGCTCTCCCTATACTATGACAGCACACTCTTCCTTTCCACCCATGATTTCCCGTGTTCATTCAACCAACTCCCAACCCTCTCTGCCTTCTCATCTCACCTCCGGACAGGAGCTGCTCATTTAGTCTCATGTATCTACTTGAGCTAAGAAGCATACTCTTCACGAATATTATTTGATGCCCGAGAGTCCAGTCTAATCTTTGTCTGAAGAGTTGGCCTTGGGAATGGTTTTAGTTCTGGGTTGACAGAGAGTCCGGGGGCCATGCTTTTTCTGTGGTTCCTCCAGTCTTAGACCATTAAGTCTGGTCTTCTTACTAGAATTTCAGTTCTGCACCCCACCTTTCTCCTGCCCCATCAGGGACTCTCTGTTGTGTTCCCTGTCAGGGCGGTCATTGGTGGTAGCCAGGCACCATCTAGTTCTTCTGGTCACAGGCTGATGCAGTCTCTGGTTTGAGATAAACATTTAAAAATAGACAGCTTTTCCTGTTTTCTCTGATAGCTACTATTTAAGGTTATAAAATAACACACTTGCTGAGGTATATTGGAGTGGAAAAGATTCAAAAGGAACCTATATTACCCTTTCTCAAAATCTTCAGAATGGAGAAGCAGATGGAGAAGGAGATACTTCTTTCCATTAGACATCATTTGGAGATCCTCACTATTCTGCTTGAACCTGACATCTTTTTCCCTTGAGATCAGACGGGAAGAATTTCTGTCCATGTGAGAGCTTGTTTAGTTGATAACTATATAAAAGCAAAACAAGGAATCAAAACATATCACTTAGTAATATCCCCTTTTTTTTTTTTTAAAAAGGTCCTGGGATCCTAGCTGCTACAAATAGGACTGAATTGGGCGTTATAGAGCCATGTTCTCCAAGTCCTAGCCCCGTGAAAAAAGGCAGTTCAATTAATTGGTCTTTCCCGGATAAAATAAAATCTCCACGAACTGTGAGGAAACTTTCCATGAAAATGAAAAAGTTGCCAGAACTTAGCCGAAAGCTGAGCGTTAAAGGAACCTTGAACTATATACACAGTCCAGATAATACTCCTTCTTTGTCTAAATGTCACTATCAAGAAATTCATCATACTGTCATCCTGCCTTCTGGGAACACAACCACAGCTGCTAAGAGGAATGTTATAAGCCGGTACCATCTTGACACCAGTGTATCTTCTCAACACAGCTATCAGAAGAAACCCTCTATGAATTCTAAGTATTCCTGCAAAGGTGGTTACCTCAGTGATGGAGATTCACCCGAACTCATAACTAAATCTAGCAAACATGGATCTGAAAACAAATTTGGAAAAGGAAAAGAAATAATTCCAAATAGTTGTAGCAAAAATGAAATAGACATTGATGCTTTTAGACATTATAGCTTTTCTGATCAACCTAAGTGTTCACAGTACATATCTGGACTCATGAGTGTCCATTTCTATGGAGCCGAGGATTTAAAGCCACCCCGGATAGACTCAAAAGATGTCTTTTGTGCAATTCAGGTAGACTCAGTAAACAAAGCAAGAACAGCTTTGCTCACATGTCGGACAACCTTTTTAGACATGGATCACACTTTCAACATAGAAATTGAAAATGCACAGCATTTGAAATTAGTAGTATTCAGTTGGGAACCTACTCCAAGGAAAAATCGAGTGTGTTGTCATGGGACTGTTGTTCTCCCTACCTTATTCAGAGTGACAAAGACACATCAGTTGGCTGTCAAACTTGAACCTAGAGGTCTTATATATGTGAAAGTGACCCTTATGGAACAGTGGGAGAATTCTCTTCATGGACTGGATACAAATCGTGAACCAGTAATATTTGGGGTTGATATTCGAAAAGTTGTAGAGAAAGAAAATGTAGGATCGATGGTGCCACTCCTGATACAGAAATGTATTATGGAAATTGAAAAGAGAGGCTGTCAGGTAGTATTTCCGTGTGTTTCTCTACTACCTCCTTTATTATTTATTTATAGTGAGTTTTGGAGGAAGGAATTCAAGGTAAAAAACAAAAAAACCTAAACATTTTCCCATTCTTTTTATTTTATTTCATTAATGTTTTGGATATAATTTATAATCTATGTTGTCAGTGATTAAGAGCATGCTATATGGTTCCATAGTTTATATTGTGATACAGAACTACATGAGCCTTATACCTGTAGGTCAAGGTTGTTTTACAGTGGCATTCCTAGGACAAGCCAGAGCTGATAACATAGACGAATTCATTTAAGGAGCGCTTCTGCAGAGTTTGCCATTCCTATGGTAGAAAGTTTCAATAGTGAGTATTGCAGCCCTCCTTAACTCCTAAAATTAACTCCCTGTCCTTATTCGACACTACCCCTTAGTTCCACTCTTTAGAAGGCGTTAGCTTATTCTCTTACCTTTGGGATAGCATGGAGGTTGAGGAGAGGCCCTACTAATAACACATCTCATTCTCTTTTCCTTTTAAATAAGAAGGCAAAGGGAAACCCACTAAAACAAACAAAAAATCTGTTATTCATAGCAAGATAGGTAAAGGATAGCCAGTTAGTAGACTTTATTTTCATTAATACATGTGGACTCTGATAATGAGAAATAGCATTTTACTGAGGGTATTATTCTGAAATACGAGTAATTGTTTATATCATTTTGTGATACAAATTAGACCTAAAAATCATTACAGTCAGATATTTCTGCTGTAGCAGTTTTAGAATTTACAACATTGGTTAAAAAGATAAAAGACATTGAGAATAAATGTCTGAAATATGATTTCTTTATATGTAAAAAGGAATTTAAAATAGCTTACTTTGAAATTAACATGGAAACTCTAGAAACAGCTTAGATTAGTGTTCTGCATTAAGATGTAGAACACCTGGACTCTGGTTTCTTCTCCATTATTAATTAGCTGTGTGATGTTGGGCAAGTCACTTAATCTCTTTGGTTCTTACTTGCTTATGTCTATAAAAATAGATACAGTCGCTTCCTGACACTAAGAGGTAGCACATCTGAACTTTTGAAACCTCTTCTAACAGATATATGATCCTATCAAGCCCAGTTTATGTTGCCTTTGTGGAAGTGAGGCCTTTTAGTTTCAAGTCCAACTTTTGACCAAATCTGGTTACAGTTTCTCTGTGGTTTTCCTCCATTTTTCTCAGGCAGCCTGTAAAAGTGCAGAGATTAGGCAGGCTTTATAGCCAACTGTTAAACAGAAACTTTTATAATTGAATATTAAAATAAGTAACTCAAATAGAACTGTACTTTTATGGCTTATTTTCTGAAATAGTTTATAAAGAGCAAGTGTATAAGACTATTATAACTTATTTCAAATGCCAAGACATATTTTTAGCCATGCTTTTTATCTCTATACTTAAGGTTAAAAAGATTTATTTTAATTAATGAAGAATTATTTCCTGTGAACTAAAAAGTAACTTTTACGTTGTGCATTTGGAACTGCATTTTTTTTTTTTTAGAATCCCCTGGGGAGCTTTTTATTGCTGTTGAAAATATACACAGCAAAACATACACCAGTTCAACAATTCTACATGTACAATACAATGACATTGATTACATTCTTCAAATTGTGCAACCATTCTCACTCTCCTTTTCTAATTTGTTCCTCCCCTGTTGACATAAACTCACTGCCCCCTAAGTTTCCTATCTAATCTTTTGAGTTGCTGTTGTCAATTTGATCCCAAGAGCACAATGCTCATGGCAGACATTCTTTACTAGTTAAGATAGACTGTTGTTTGGTTTAAAGAAGGCTTCAGGGAATATTGTTGATTCATGATTTCAGGCTTAAAGATTGTCTCAGGGCAGTAGTTTCAGGGGTTCATCCACCTGGAGAGCTTTTAAAAATCCCAGAACAATTAAATCAGAATTTTTAGGGATAAGATCCAGGTGTCAGTTTTTTGTGTTTTTTTTTTTTTAAATTGTGCTTTAATGAAAGTTTACAATTCAAGTTAGTCTCTCATACAAAAATTTATGCATACATTGTTATGTGACCCTAGTTGCTCTCCCTATACTGTGACAGCACACTCCTCCTTTCTACCCCTGATTTCCCATGTCCATTTAACCAGCTCCTGACCTTCTCTGCCTTCTCATCTCACCTCTGGACAGGAGCTCCCCATTTAGTCTCATGTATCTACTTGAGCTAAGAAGCACACTCTTCACGAGTATCATTTTATGTCCCATAGTCCGGTCTGATCTTTGTCTGAAGAGTTGGCCTCGGGAATGATTTTAGTTTTGGGCTAACAGAGAGTCCAGGGGCCATGTCTTCCGGGGTCCCTCCAGTCTCAATTAAGCCATTAAGTCTAGTCTTTTTACTGGAATTTCAGTTCTGCACCCCACTTTTCTCTTGCTCTGTCAGGGACTCTTGGGACTGCACTTTTTAAAGACCTTTTTTTTGTGTTGTTTCTTTTGCTTCCCCCCACCCCCCCACACACAGACGTGGGTTTATTGTGCCTGCATTTTACAGACTGGACTACTCTTTAAAAGGAGCCCTGGTGGTGCAATGGTTAAGTGTTCGGCTGCTAACCGAAAAGTTGGTAGGTGGAACCCACTCAGCCACTCTACAGGAGAAAGACCTGGCGATCTGCTCCTGTAAAAGATTACAGCCAAGAAAACCCTATGGGGCAGTTCTACCCTATCACATGGGGTAGCTATGAGTCGGGATCAACCTGATGGCAGCAAACGATAATACTGTTTAAATTTTGTTTACCTTTAAAAATTTTTCCTTGCTTTTTCACTGTGCAAATCAGATTTTGATAGATTCATACAAAAATAACTTGTGGCATGGACCTTGCATCTTCCAAAAGCTTTGAATACTACTACCACCCATCCTCTGCTTCCAGTGGGAAAAAATTACTTCAGAGATCATACTCATGGTTCATCTGATAGAGGCATCAAGCATGTACTGCACGTGCTTGATTCAAGAAGTCAGCCTCTGAAACTAGGGATATATTCTAAAAATCCTTTCCTTGAAATAACCTGTATTAGATCTTCCTTTTGTTTATTCTTATCTTTTTAAAATTTATCTTTGTAATTTGAGCTTTTTAGGATAATATGTTCCATTAATATATTACCTACTACTGAAGTAGTAAGCACTTTAATTTGTTCTGGACTCATCTCCTTCTCAAGTTCAAGGGGAAACATCTTTTTTCTATAGTATTACGGGATTTGAAAACACTTAAGTATCACTCTTTTGAAGGTCTCTAATCAATTTAGTTTCTTCTAATGTGGTAGCATTTCCTTTGATCCTGTTTAATGCTTAAGCTTCATTTTCTGGACCATCTCCAGTTTTACTATGTCTTTCTTGAGATGACGTGGCCAGAATAGCACATGATATTCTCAATGCACCATGAATTTGAATAAGAGGAGAAAATTTGAATTTTCTTCCCAGTACATTCCTTGGCTTCCCATATTATGTTAATCCTTTGGAATGCAGCAGCACCTTGCATTACCATCTCTTAGAAATAGTTTTAGGTTCTTTACTGTTTTTCAATTAATACTTAATAGCTTATCTCAAATATTTTGGATAACATTTCCTTGTTTCTGTTACTGACATTTTCCTGTATTGAGACCTACCTGCCACTTATCTAAATTCCTACAAAGTCTTGTAACATTTTTTTGTACTCTATTCTACCTGTTTCTTATTTAATGACCCAGAAGAGCTTAGTGTCATAAGTAAACCTAGAAATTTCATTGTGTGCTCTGTCCTCTAGATCATTTATAACATTATAAAGTGATTTTTAAATTCAAATCCTTGGGGATCCCTATTGTTTGTTTTTACTTTATTCCTGTTTTGAAATAATTTCTTTATGTGTAATTTTTCCTTCAATTCAAGATGTTTGAGCGTCCTAAGTAGTCTTTGATGTGGAAGTATTGATGACAACCACTTATTCTCCTTAATTTTCTTGAAGGTTTATTCTTCTAAAGAATTTTGACAGATTAGTCATGCATGTTTTCTCTTTACAGAGACCATGTTAATTTCTTATCCATGAATTTATATTAAACTTCTTAAGACTTCAAACCAGTATGAACTGTTTAAAAAACAAATCTATTCAATGTAGATTTTGGGGGGGGTGGTCTGTACATCTTATATAAATTTTGAACTAGAGGTTTTATTTTACCTTCAATATATTATTTAATTAAATTTCCTTCATTACTTTATAAACAATTAATTTGACAAGTTAAAAAAAAGCCCTAGGTTTGCTTAATTTCTTCCTCAGGATCTATTTTTTTCTAAAATACTAGCTTTCCATACATAAATAGTATACTAGAATCTTATTTCAATTATATGTGTATTTTATAGATAAAGAAACTGAATTTTAAAGAGATTAAGTAACTTGCCCAAATTCACCAGACGAGAAGTGGTAGGGTGGGGCTTTAAGACCCTGAAACCCTTGTTTAACCACTATGCTGTACTATTTCAGTCTAGAACAAAAGATGTTAAAGGACACATTCTTGGGACATGGAGATATTGGTTGAGCATATAAAGCAAAAGGGAAGGAATCTTTACTTGAGATAGCCAGCATATAGAAATAGTATATTGTTTGAATTTAAATGAAGAAGGTTTTTGTTAAACTAATATAGTCTACAGTGAGATTTCAAAAGCTGTGTTTGAGGTATTTTTAATTAAATGCCATCAAAACATATTGGATTGACAACTTCATGTGATTTATACATGCTGTACTATTATATTTTCTCTTTATCTATTTACCATAATGTGGCCATAATTTTATTTCTAGGTAGTAGGCCTGTATCGATTATGTGGTTCGGCAGCAGTCAAGAAAGAACTTCGAGAGGCTTTTGAGAGGGATAGCAAAGCAGTTGGTCTGTGTGAAAACCAGTACCCAGATATAAATGTAATAACAGGTAATAAATAGATTTTATTTTATGTACTCATTTTGGAAAGTCTACATCTGCAGGAAAGAGAACTAAAATACCATTTTGTAACCTAAATTAATTTGATTTTATTCTGTAATCTTACTTTCCTCTTTCACGAATACTACTGTATTACTTTCTGTGGGGACATGCTAAGATATCTTCCCTGCCTTCAAACAGCCAACAAAGGTTAGAGGGCAGTAGTACCTATACTGAATAAGCTGTGGTAGCCAGCAGAAAGAAAGGGTACCTTCACAGGGGTATAAATAAAATGCCATGGGAGATCAGTTGACTGGAGCTTAGATAATGTAAAGGGTGTTGACTATCTTGTTAGATAATTTACATTTATTTAGTAGGCAGAGAGGATCCATTAAAGATTTTTGAGCAGGGGAGCAAAATGGTCAGATATAGTCTTCAGAAATATTTATCTGGCAACTGTACATGATGGATTGAAATTGGAAAAGACCAGGGGGAAAATCAGTTAGGAACCTTTGACAGTAGTCCCAGGAAAGAGGTAATGAGTACTGAAGGAGGTTTGTGGCAGCAGAAGTAGGAAAGAGTAGAATTGAAAGGGTGTGAAGAAAGAGTGGCCCAGACAAAAATGACTGAGTTTAAGACCTGGTTGATTGGGAGAATAATGCCATGACCATTAGCAGAAATAAGAAAGCTGGGAAGAGAGCTACTGTCTTTAGTGGGAAAATGTAGATTATGAATTGAGTTTTGAATACATTGAATTTGAGGTGCGAGTAGGAGACATAAGTCAATGTGTCAAACAAAATTGAAAGTGCTCATCTGTCCTTAAGGAGAGGATGTGGTGAAATTTGAGGTGTCTTTTCTTCACCCAGGTGATACTGTAATAGCACTGAAAATAAACTTCTAGTGCGCCTGAGAAATGGAGATGGAAAATGGCAATTTAAGGGTCCTTGGCCTCTAGGAGGTCCCTAGTGGCATAAGCGGTTTGTTTGTGCTTGACTACTAACCAAAAGAAAGTTTGGTGGTTAGAACCCACCCAGTGGTACCATGGAAGAAAGACCTAGCAGTCTGCTTCCATAAAGACTACAGCCAAGAAAACCCTATGGAGCTCAGTTCTACACTGTAACATATTGGGTCGCCATGAGTTGGAATCAAAGGCAGCAGGGTTTTTGGTTTTGGCCTGTAGGTATAATGAAACCATGCAATTATCTGTAAAGTTTGAAAAGACAAGAACTTTAGGGAATCTTCAAACTTTGGAGACAAGCAAAAGAAAGGAGAAACAGCTAAAGACGTTGAGAGGGAAGGAGTTAGAAAGGTTGGGAAGCAAGAGACAACAGAGTTTCAGGAGAGATGTGATGTAGCTTCATTTTATGGAGAGATCATGTAAGATGAGAACAGAGAAAAAGTCTTTGAATTTGACCATTAGGAGATTGTTTATAAACTTATTGATATCTTTAGGGGCTATTGGGTTAGGGTTCTGTGCTTCTTCTTGTTTTACTTTTTATTATCAAAGTATTCAAGCATATGTGTAAGTAGAGAGAACACTATTATAAACCTCCATTGTTCATCATCTGGCAAAGATTACAGCCTTGGAAACCCTGAGGGGTACTTCTGCTCATATACAGACGCTGTGAATTGGAATCAACTCATTGGCAGTGGGTTTGTTTTTTTTCGTTAACCCTGGATTATTTTGAAGCAAATCTCAGATTTCATATCATTTCATCTATAAAGCTTAAGTATATATCTCTAGATGTTTGATGTATTTTGATAATTCTTTCTCTTCTCTTTACTGTCAACTGTCATTTTTTCTTGTTATAATGATGTTTATCTCTTCTAATTTGCTTTCTTATTTTACACACAATTATCTGGGTGAGAATTTGAGGAAGGTTCAATTTGTACATTTTAGACATTTTTGTTGGTTGAAATCCATAAAGCTTACTTTTAGGATTAAAGCTTTCCAAATAGTTGAGGTTCTCAATCTCTGAACACTGATTGACTGTATTTTCATGGAGCCCTGGTGGTACAGTGGTTAAGAGTTAAGCTGCTAACCAAAAGGTCAGCCATTCGAATCCACCAGCTGCTGGAGCATTTAATATATACTTGTGGATAACCAAAAGTTTTATCCCAACCATTTTAATTCTAAGGGAAAAGAAACCAAGGCACTTTTTCTTTCATATAAATTTTAGCAAATCAGAAAGAATGTTTACTTTTATTTTTTATAAAGGAAGAAAGGCTTCTAATTTCTATTTAAAAAAGATGTTTTTCCCTTGTTAGTGTGTAATTAACAAAATCAGCAAAGGACCTATTTTATGAATACATTAAAGAGAAATTTTATAAATAGCAATTCTTAGGAAAGTATACTCTATAACTAAATGAAAGTAGATTTTTATCTTGGTGAAGCCTTGTCTTAGAAATAAAAATGTCAAACGTACAAATTACAAAGATGAAATGATGTGATTTTGATTTATTATTTGCTATTAAGAGAGAGTCCTTAGTTTTGGAAATTAGCAGCATGTGCAGGATATATGAACAATAGGTCAATAAATGTTAGATTTATAACTTTTTTTTTATTATAATTTATAATTGGGTATTTCTTGGCTCCCTACTCTTTTTTACTGTTCCATTTCAGTAATGAGTAATGGAAAGAACCTAGAGCTATTTTCTCTTTTGATAAAAAGCCAGCAAAATGATTTAAGATTTGTCTGAGAAATATCTTTGGAATTGCAATAAATTATACGCAGGGTCTCATAGTGGCTCAAAATAAAGGGTATTGCTGATTTGGGACATTGGCCAGTAATGGTGTTACCTCATGTGTTTGTTCCACTGGAACTCACATTTCTGAGTAAACCTTGAAATATAACTAACGGTCTAGTAAGTCTAAAAATGAGAAACAAATGAAGTGAATTATGAAGTTTACTCACAGTTTAATGTGGTTTTAGTAGTTAGTTTGTCTGGAGCACAGAACAGACTGTGGTAATCTATGAATACTATTCTGCAACAACAACAGCAAGAAAAAACAGTTGCCATCAAGTGGATCCTGATTCGTGATGACCCCATGTGTGTCAGAGTAGAACTGCTCCATAAGGTTTTCAATGGCTGATTTTTCAGAAGTAGATTTCCAGGCCTTTCTTCCGAGGCACATTTGGGTGGACTTGAACCACAAACCTTCCAGTTAGCAGCCAAGCGTGTTAGCCATTTGAACCACCCAGACACTCCAAAGCATCATGCTAGAATCCCAGGAATGTAGAGTGCTAGATTTAAAACTCCAGTCCTGATTTGAAGAAAATAAAACAAAACAAATAATCTTTCAGTAGTTACGCTTTAAATATGCAACATAAGTGCATAATTTTTTAAAGTGTTTTTTTTTACTAAATACTGTACACAGGAATTTAAAAATTCCAGTGATTCTCTCTGAATATAATGTGCAGTTTGGTTTAATCAGTATTTGTTAATAATAATGCCCCCTTATTTGCTCTCAAATTATAGTGAAGTAAATGATCTTGGGTTAATTTAACATTCCATTTATATTAACAACTGTTTAGTATATTAATTACATAAAGGATAATGATATTTGAAATATGAGTTTTATTAAGCTGTAAAATTATCTTTTCTGGAGATCTTTTAGGTTTTTATTTAATATAATTGCATTATAGGGCAAGTCTCAAACTACCAGGGCAAATTGAGTTTTGTAAGAACTAACAAGTCTTGCTTTGTTAAGAAACAAATATGGGATCCCTTTTTTTAATCACGCCCTGGAGGGTTAGTAGTGTCTTTATTTGGCAACTGCAGAAAATTGGATTTCCGCTTTCTAATTGTAACCCAATTGTCCCTCTACACTGAATGTTGCTATTGATTTTAGATAGATTTAGACTGAAAAATCTAACAATGGGAGTAAAGATCACATGATATAAATTAAGAAATGTGAATAAACAATTATTGCATGCCCACTGTGTACTAAATACTTTATCATATCATCACTATTAAAGCTTACAGGTATTGATTACTTGTGATATGCCAGGCATTTTATCTGTCCTTCATATATGTCAAGGAAGAAGTTTGATCAGTATTCTCTTGGCTCCCTTGTGCTATTTCTAGATTATTACCTTTCTACTGAGTAGAAACTTATGTTGTCCTGAGACTTATGCCACATGCCTACATACATACCACCTGTATGTACCCTTTTTATTTAATGTCGTCTACAGAACTCTTGGGCACTCCCATTCATTCATTGAAGAGTTTGATATCTCACCTGTGGTTATATTTTCATCATAAGTTCTGTCATCATCCTAGGTGACATTAACATGCACATAACCAATCCAGAATCTTAGACTCTCAGTTCCTGTCATCTCCAGTGACCTTTCATATCAACTCGACTTCAGTGACCTATTCCTAAAATTATAACTTGGTTCTTGTCATCATCCCGAATTGCTCGGCCTCTGAAACTTTGAATTTATTTAGATCTGTAACTGTAGTTTTCTATTTGTCAGGTGCTCTCTTATTCCTCCTTTTCCTGTTTTTCACCTCATTAGCCATTCTTAAATTTATTTTTTCTCTATCAGTTCCCTTTGGTCTGAATTTCCTGCTGTAGTCGTATTAGATTTCAGGGTTCATTGTTTTAGCCACTTTCATGCAAATGTCCTTAATTTCCTTGCCTGATTGCCCCTCTATGCCATCCATCTGGCAAAACCTCCACTGCAGAATGTCAGTTGTCAGTCTTAGTTTTTTTCCCCTCACAACTTTATTGAGGTATAATTACCATATAATGAACTACATATATTTAAAATATACAATTGGATAAGTCTTGACATATGTATACATCCTGGAACCATTACCACAGTCAAGATAATGAACATAACAATCACCCCAAAAGTTTCTTCATGCCCATTTATAATGCTTCCCTCCCACCCGTCTCTCCCCACTGTCCCCTGTCCCGAGGCAACCATTGATCTGTTTTCTGCCATTATAGATTAGTTTTTATATATAAGTATATGATATATAAAATATACATATAGGTTTGTTGTTAGTTGCCATTGAGTTGATTCTGACTCATGGCCTCCCCATGTGTGCAGAGTAGAACTGTGCCCCAGAGGGTTTCCAAGGCTGTAGATCTTTATGGAAGCAGACTTCCACATCTTTCTCTTGCGGAGCTGCTGGTGGGCTCAAACCACTGACCTTTCGGTTAGCAGCCAAGCACTTAACCACCGCACCACCAGGGATCCTAAATATATACATAATTATTAGATTTTTATATAAATGGAATCATATAGTATATACTCTTTTATATTGTCTGGTTACTTTTACTAGATAGTTGTTTTGAAATTCATCCGTGTTATTATGTGTATCAATAGTCCATTCCTTTTTATTGCTAAATAGTATTCCACTGTTATCAATGTACTGCCATTGGTTTATCCATTGATTTGTTGATAGACATTTACATTGTTTCCACTTTGGACTATTACAAAAGCTGCTATGATCATACATGTAAAAATGTATCAGTCTTTGTATGGGCATATACTTTCACTTCTCTTGGGTAAATACCTAGGAGTGGAATGGCTGGGTCATACACACACTAGGTATGTGCTTACCTTCTTAAGAAATTGCCAAACTTTTTCCAGTTTTACATTCCCACCAGCAATATGTGAGAATTACAGTTGATACACATGGTATGGCCAATCTTTTAATTTTAGCCATTCTGATAGATATATGGTGGTATCTCATTGTGACTTTAATTTTGCATTACCTAGCAAGTAATAATAGTGAGCCTCTTTTCCAATACTTATTTACCACCTGTGTATTTTCACTTGTGAAATATCTATTCAAATTTTTTGCTTATTTTAAAAATTAGAGTGTTGGTTTTCTTATTATTGAGGTTTGAAAGTTCTTTATATATTGTGGATACAAATCCTTTATCAGACATGTGATTTGCAAATATTTTCTCCCAGGCTCTAGCTTGTCATTTCATTTTTTTACTCCCTGTCTTTTGAAGAACAGAAGTTAATTTTATCAGTTTTTTTCTTTTGTGGACAGTGCTTTTGATGTTGTATTTAAGAACTCTTTCCCTAACCTAAGGACACAAATATTTTCTCCCATGTTTTCTTTAGAGGTTTTATGGTTTTACATTTAGGCCTCTGATCCATTTTGAGTTAATTTTTGTGTATGGTATGAGGTATGGATTGATGTTTATTTTTTACATATGGCTATCCAATTGTTCCAGCATCGTTTGATGAAAAGACTCTTTTTCTCTACTAAATTGCATTGACACTTTTGTCAAAAACAAATCGACCATATATATGTGTATCTCCTTTTGGACTCTATTTTGTTTCATTGATCTTTGTATCTATTCTATGCCAAAATCTCGGTGTCTTGATTACTATAGCTTTACAGTGAGTCTTGAATTTAAGTACTGTAATTCTCCAACGTTTTTTTTTTTCTCAAAATTATTTTAGCTATTCTAGGTCATTTGCATTTCCATATGAATTGTAGAATCACTTCGTCAATTTCTCCAAAATCTCTCTTGGCTTTTATTAAGATTACATTGAATTACAAATGTACTTACCCTTTGATTTATCAGTCCTGCTTTGGGAATTTATCCTACAGACATATCTATATACATGCAGAGCGATGATGTGCAAAGTTATTTATTGTAGCGTGGTTTGGAGTAACGGAAGATTAGAAACAATCTAAGAGTCCAACTGTAGGGGATTGAATTAAACAAAACTGTGGGACATCCATACAATGGAGTACTATGATGTGGCTGTACAAAAGATTGAGGAAGCTCTCTATGTACTGAAATGAAAAGATTTCTAGGATATGATGTTAAATGAAAGAGCAAGAAACAAGTATGACATATATACTATCTTTTATGTAGGAATTTACATGAACAAACACTGGGAGGATGCATAAGAAAATAATGAAATAATGCCCCTTTTATTTATAAAGAACTAGGGTGGTGGGGGACAAGGTGGACGAAATCAGAGGTGACACTGAGAGTTTAAGTGTTCAACTGCTAACCGAAGGTCCGTAGTTTGAACCTACCAGTGGCTCTTCAGTAGAAAGATGTGGTAGTCTGCTTGCATAAAGATTTCAGCCTAGGAAATCCTATGGAGCAGTTCTACTCTGTCCTCTAGGGTTGCTATGAGTTGGAATCTACTTGATGGCACACAACAACAACCACTGTTAAAATTTTCTAAATTATCAGGTGGGAAGCTACTATATGATCATGTTTAAGTTCAGTCTATAGCTAATCTGAGAGCACGTTCTCAGTCAGTGTTGAATATGTTTAGGTTTTTGGCATTGGAACTGTTTGGCCTTGTGATCACATTCCAGCCTTTAGCTAGTACCTTATATATATGAGGTATATTGCTTATATGAAACAACCATTACTCTTTCTCATTTCCTTTACTGTAGGTAATATCTGTTCGATCCTAAGCACTTGGGCTGTGTTTGCAATTGATTTCCCTCACACCTTTTGTATTGACAGGTCTGATGTTTACTGTTCTTGGCTTTTGGTTTTAGAAATGATTTTTTTTTTCTTTCGTAGAAGAGTGTAGTATTAGAGATTATCCAGCTGTCTAGTATAAACACATCTCCGATATTAAAGAGGAAGTATATAACTTTATTTATTTGCAAGGGCTTTGGACCATTGGTATTCTTTCAGTATTAAAGTCTAGAAACTCAAAATTCTTATTATTAGGATTATTTGCAGTTAATATTAATGTGCCTTGTTTACTTAACTTTTGTTTTATACCCATTTAGAGGAGCTTTTTCTTGGAGGGGGAAGTAACATGGTATATGTATCAAGAACAGCTTACTTTATGAGTAACAAACCTAATGTGTATGGTAATTTAAGATTATACATATGCATTTTTAGCATGCTTTCAAAACAAAAAGCAACTTATAGGAGTACAAAATGCTAGTGTTTTGTTTTAATACTTTCTTTTCATGTTATTGCTTGTATGGTTTTCCGAATAGTAAAACAGTTGGCCACAATAATACTTAAATTAAAAAAAAAAATTACCGTAGTTCTTGATTTCACTCTGAAGACAAATAGCCAACTCTTTCTAGTTTGTTTTTTTAAAGGTGTTCTTAAGGATTATTTAAGAGAACTTCCTTCTCCTCTGATAACAAAGCAACTTTATGAGGCCGTATTAGCTGTAATAGCAAAAAATCCTTTGAAAATGTCGTTAAATGGTTGTGAGAATAATACAAGTGACTCCAAGTATGCTGTTGACCTGCTGGATTGTCTGCCTGATGTTGAGAAGGTAAGCATGATTGGTGTGCATTTTTTCTGCAAGTCAGCTAATAAACTATACTTAACTCCCAAGTTACAAATAGTATTTTACGTGTTTGACATTTGTGGCATTCATAGGGTTAAGCTCTGCCTTTATAGCTTTTTAAACAGAATACCTCTAAAAACTGCTTCTTAAACAGATTAAATCTAGAAAGCAATTTTTTTTTATATGATTTTAACCTAGGTAAGAATACTACTCCCTATAAGTTTTATTTTGTTATTATTATTTGTTTTTATTTTTATTATTTAAATTTATACTTATTATCATTTACTTATTTTTATTAAAATAGTATACACTTATTAAAAAGTTGGGAAGATATAGAAAAGAAGAATGGAAAATAACAACGATCAATATCCAGAGGCAATTATGATGAATATTTTGGTGTATTTCCTTAGTATTTTAAAAATATGATTGTGAACATTTTTTACATACAATTTTTAACCATTTTGGGGGGTTGGTTTTTAAAACTTGACATTACAGCGTAAGTATTTTAAATTGATAAAACTGTTCGTGTACATGGCTTAGCTTCAAGACTTAAGCAGCCTCCCCTTTGCCCCATTTCCTTCCTCCTTACGTTTTCTGATTACCCTCCTCCCCACACTGTACATCTGGGAACCAGCATTCTCAGGTATGCCTGCAGGAGGTACAGAAGAAGGATGGCTGGGTCTGCAGAACAAGCATTAGCTTCACTTTAGCTGTTGTTCCTTAGAACAAAAAGAAAAAATAAGAGAAAGAGATGCAGCCGGGCTTGTCCAGAAGAGGCCAACTTTGCCTGGATTTGCTAACCATATAGAGGCAGAAAGTGCAAAAATGAGTGGGTAGAAACTTTAAGTAAGCCCAGTAACTTTATCCACTAGTTTGCTGTGATCCCCTGAGTGTCCTGGCCTCTGTCCAATTAGATTAGCAATTGCTTCTCCTTTGGATTGAAAGAAGGGAACAGCTACAAAGAAATGAGTAGAAGCAGGAGGGTGGAGTGAAGGGGTAAAAATATTCCCTTGCCAGCGCTTGGTAAAATTGTAAGTACCACTTTAAGATAATGAAAACGAGCGTCAGGCAATTTAAATCACTTGTCCAAGGTTATATAGCTTGTGAATGTTGTAGCTGGCCACGTGAATTTAGTCTGATTCTAAAGCCCACATTGTGAACAGCCTTTCTAAAAGTATGCATAATATGCCATTGAGTGGATCTGACATGATTTATCACAATGCCCCTTGGTGTTATATTTAGGTTTTGAACTTTTTGTTTATATTTGTACATAGAGATTTCTTTTCATTTAGAATTATTTATTTAGAATAGAACCTCAGAAGTGGAATAGCTGGTTTAAATGCTCTTAATGCATGTTTTCAGATTATGCTTCAAAAGAGACATAGCAATTACATTTTTGGCTCATCTTACTTAGCAGACTAAAAAAAAAAAAGCATCTTATTCTAAATTTCATTTTGTTGTTTGCGTTTGAGATCGAACCTAATAATTTAACCATTTGTGGTTGTGTATGTGTGTGTTTGAACGTGAATGTTTCACAGTTATTATGCACTGACAATAGCCTTAATAGGTCAATGTATATGGAGCCCCACTCCTGTTAGGAAATGTATAGTGAAAAAGAGGCAGGGGCAAATATTTATTATTTGCATTCTTTTATGATTCATGTATTTGACTTGTTTTGATTTCAAAATACCAATTATTATCTTGTCTCGCATTCATTCTGTCTTCATTCCTCCCCTTCACAGTCAAACATTGAAAGAATGTTTATCTTCACTGTCATCACTTCTTCATACTCATTTACTACTCAACCCGTTGCAGTCTGGCTTCCTACCTCATCTCTCTGAGCTTGTTCTTGCCAAAGTTATAATAACTTTCTAATCGCCAAATCTAATTGTCCTTTTTGGCACCAGAAATAATATGCCATCTTGATTTCTTCTTTATTTATAAGATTTTTAACTTACAGTTTTTGACATTTCTTCAGTGTACTTTATAAAGAAGAAATTACACACTAATTTTATTATTAAATGATTGGTCATATGACACTGCCTCAAAAAAACGTTACCCCTTCCCATAATTGCTTAAACTAAATAAAATACTACTGACCATTCCACTTCTTGGGCCTTTACTAGTTTCTTCAAGGATTTTTTAAAAATTTGTTTTCAATAAATTTTTCTTTTATTTCTAACTATACCCTTTTTCTCTTTTGTATGGTTCATCTGCATAAAATGTTTATTAGTTAAGAAGCACATTGGCCTTTTTATAAGTCTTTCACAGTTTGGACCATGATAGAACTTGGCCATGTTTTGAAATGGTTAGCTTCCTAGATTTAAGTATGGTAATATGCTTCTTAAGCCTACAGGATTTACCTGTACTTAAAAATGAATGTTCTTTTCCTAATCCTCTGTCTATCACAGCCTTTGCTGTTGTCATTTTAGAGAAGGGAAGAGAATAGAGTTGATGATGCATTTTCCTAGGATCTCCAGCTGAAATTTCAATACATTTCTGAGTATTTTATAGAGTGTATTTTTTAACCATTTAATGGGTTAAATTATGTCATCGGAATCTACGGACCCTGTGTAATGTTTCTATAAGAAAAGAAGTTACAAGTTCCAGACATCTAAGTTACAAGCAAACTTTTGAAGCAACCCTCTAAAAGTGATAAGATGCCTGCCTATATTATCTGCTATATATTGTTTCCTTGAATTTGCCCATGTATGACTATATTAAGTGAAATTTAATTTAATTTAGGCGACCCTAAAGATGTTGTTGGATCATTTGAAATTGGTGGCTTCTTATCATGAAGTGAATAAGATGACCTGCCAGAATTTGGCTGTGTGCTTTGGACCAGTATTATTAAGTCAGAGGCAAGAGACTTCCACCTGTAACAACAGAGTCTTTACTGACTCAGAAGAACTTGCAAGTGCTCTGGATTTTAAAAAACATATTGAAGTTCTTCATTACCTACTCCAACTCTGGCCAGGTAATGAACCTATGGAAATATTTTTCTGTTTCAATGTTAGGGTGTTTAAATTAGCTAATCATTAAATATGCCCGTATATGATTGAAGAAAATCTAGATTTTTTTTTCATATAGTTATGAATTGATACCTGCCTTTTAGATTGCTCCATTTAAATTTCCTGCCTTTGCTGATATTATTATAGACATATAGACCAATGTACACATTTTGGATTTGATCAGATCTTGATTTGAATCCTGGTTGTGCCACTTGTTAGCAGTCTGACCTTGAACAAGTTCGTTAACATCATAGAGCCTTGATATCATCTTCGTCATATGGTTTTAATGATATATTTATAGAGTTTATATGAGGATGAAATGAAAAAGTATGTATATAAGGTGCTCAGCATAGCTCTTGACACATAATATCAAAACCAAAAACCAAATCTGTTGCCATCGAGTTGATTCCAACTCACAGTGACCCTATAGGACAGGGTAGAACTGTCCCATAGGGTTTCCAAGGAGCGGCTGATGGATTTGAACTGCCGACCTTTGGCTAAGCAGCCGAGCTCTTAACTACTACACCACCAGGGCTCCTGACACATAATAGGTACTCAATAAATATTAATTTCTTTACTCTTCTCATTTTTAGTTCAACTTACATGAAGCAGAATTCATTTTTTCAAATCAGTTCTTACTGACATATATTATATTCATGATCATTCAAATTATCCAGACTTGAACTGACAATTATCTTTTATCTTCACATCTTTCTTATCCATTCCTTATTCTGGTCAGTAAGGAAAAGTTGACAGTTATTTTCCTAAAATATCTCATATATAGTTTTAGAGCTAAAAGTAGTATGTATTCAATTAGATGTTTTGTAAAGCATCCTGTACTTAAGTCCCTGAATTTTCTTATCCTGTGGTAATTCTTGCTTTCCTCCCACTACCCTGTATAGTACCAATGGTGAAAGTACTTAGATGCTTAGTGTAGAGAATAGTGGTAAAAGTTCATGGGCCCCACATTCAGACCTGGATTCAGATCCTAGCTGGGGTACTTAGCAGCAGTGTAGCCTCAGACTACAAGCTAATGCTCAGAGCATTAACTTCTCTAAGCCTCAGTTCTTTTCTCTGTCAATGGTGCCTACCTCATAGGGTTGTTGTGAAGATCAAGATAAAGCATCTAAGGGAATGAGCAAAGCTCAGCACAAAGTATGCCCTCAATAAATGTTCTATTGATGTATATGAGAAGTATAGTCAAAAGTACAAGGGAATGCTTGTGAGAGTCTTAAATCTAATTTTTAAAGGTAGATTAAAAATAAAGCTAATAAAAGTTTCCAACCTAAACCTGGAAAGTTAAAGTTTTTACTTTTTTTTAAAACACAGGTTTTAAAACTTAGTTTATTTTTTAACTGAATTGGAATGTATTTATTAATTATTTAAAAACCTGAATCGAGATTGTCTGGGTACTTGGGCTGATTACTGCATGTGGTACCCAATATAAGGGATCTCAGGTTAAATTTTAAAATGTGTGATTCCTAGCATTTTCTAGAACTGCTTTAATTCTAATAAACATCAGGAATTTGGAAGAGGCGCCATCTCATCATTGCAATTACAAATGAAAACTGGTTTTCCTGGAGATACTAAGTTTATTTCAGTACCTGAATTCCTTGTCATTAAATTCTGTATCAGAGGTTAATGTCACTTCATTATTTTGCACTAGCCTCCTTAGTTCTATGTTTGTGATCAAAAGCTTAATTAATATATGTTTTATAGCAAAAGCAGGTTCAGATTTCATATTTTGCTGTATTTTAATGACAACCTTTAACAACTGTCTCCTAGAATTCAGTCCTTCATCCCAAAGATTTTTGTTGTTAGTTTTAAAAAAATAACTGCCCCTTTTTCTATAACCTGTTATTTTTCTTTAGTTGTAGCATCTCAGACAAAGGACAGAACAGGGCTGAAGGATGAGAGGAAACAACAGTGAGTTTCGCCCTCTAAATCACTTGTAGTGCAGTTACTGGGCTTTAGAAAATCGATGGTGACATGGAGGATGTAGTGAGGACTGGGCCATATGTAGCATATTAACTTGGTGAATGCCTATCTCCATGCATTTAGTAGAAGGTCTTTGGCTCTCTTGCTGTGCATATCTTCTTTTTCTTTTTGGACTTTTTCCCTCTCCATAGGTAAAAAGAGTTGATTTTCCCCCTATTCATTTTGTTTTATTGTGGTATACTGTATTGTTGTTGTTGGGTGCTGTTGAGTCGATTCCAACTCATAGCAACCCCATGTAATGGAGGAGAACTGCCCCATAAGATTTTCTTGGCTGTAATCTTTATGAAAGCAGGTTGCTGGGTCTTTTCTCTCAAAGAACCACTGGGTGGGTTCAAACTGCCAACCTTTCAGTTAGCAGCCTAGTCTTAGCCATTGTACCACCAGGGCTCTACACAACATGAAATTTGCCATTTTAACCATTTTCAAGTGTACAATCTAGTAGCATTAGTCACACTCACAATGTTGTGTAGTCATCACCACTATTTGTTTCCAAAACTTCATCACCCCCAGTAGAAACTCTGTACCCATCATGCAATAACTCCCCATTCCCAACCTTTCCCAGCCCCTGGTAAACTCTAATCTACTTTCTGTTTCTATGCATTTGTGTATTCTAGATATTTCATGTAAGTGGGATCCTATATTATTTATCCTTTTGTGTCTAATTTATTTCACTCAGCATTATGTTTTCAAGTTTCATCCATATCACAGCATGTATCAGTGCTTCATTTTACTTTATGTCTGAACAATATTCCATTGTATGGAATTAATCACCTTTTGTTTATCCATTGGTCTGTTGATGGACATTTCGGTTGTTTCTACCTCTTGGCTGTTGTGAATAGTGCTGCAGTGAGCATTGGTGTACAAGTATCTGTTTGAGTCCTTGCTTTCAGTTCTTTTGGGTATATTATAGGAGTGAAATTTCTAGGTCATATGGTAATTCTACGCTTAACTTTATATATATATATATATATATATATAATTGTACTTTAGATGAAGGTTTACAGAACAAATAGTTTCTCATTAAACAGTCAGTATGTATATTGTTTTATGACATTGGTTAACAACCCCACAACGTGTCAATACTCTCCCTTCTTGACCTTGGAAGACCTTTTTTTTTTTGGTGAAAATATACATAGCCGAAGTTACACCATTTCAAAAGTTTCTACATGTACAATTCAGTGACATCGATTACGTTCTTCCAGTTGTGCTGCTATTCTCACTATCCTCTTCCAAATTATTCCATCACCATTATCTTCAACTCACTGCCCCCTAGGCTTCCCATCAAACCTTTTGAGTTGCTGTTGTCAATTTGATCTCACGTAGATAATTCTTTTTTTTTTTGTACCTTAGATGAAGGTTTGCAGAACAAATTGTTTCTCATTAAACAAATAGCCCTATGACAATGGCTGACAACCCCACAACATGTCAACACTGTCCCTTCCAACCTTGGTTTCCCTATCACCAGCTTTCTTGTCCCCTCCTGCCTGCTAGTCCTTGTCCCTGGACTGCTGTGCCTCATTAGTCCCGTTTTGTTTTATGAGGCTGTCCAATCCCTGCTTGAACGGTGAACTTCTGGAGTGACTTCACCACTGAGCTAAAAGGGTGTCCCGGGGCCATACTCTCGGGGTTTCTCCAGTCTGTCAGGCCAGTAAATCTAGTCTTTTTTTTTTGTGAGTTAGAATTTTGTTCTACATCCTTTTCCAGCTCTGCCCAGGACCCTCTATTGTGATCCCGGTCAGAGCAGTCAGTGGTGGTAGCCGGGCACCATCTAGCTGTACTGGACTCAGTCTGGTGGAGGCCATGGTAGCTGTGGTCCATTAGTCCTTTGGACTAATCCTTTCCTTGTATCCTGTTCTCGTCATTCTCCCTTGCTCCCGAAGAGGTGAGACCTGTGGAATATCTTAGATGGCTGCTCACAGGCCTTTAAGACCCCAGACGCTACTCACCAAGGTAGAATTCTACATTTAACTTTTTGAGGAACCACCAAAATGTTTTCCATAGCGATTATACCATTTTGCATTACCACCAGCTGTGGATGAGGCTTCCAGTTTCTCCACATCCTCACCAACACTTTTTTTTTCAATTTGGAGCAAGAATTTGCCTGGAGCTTTCTTTTTGAAAAATCTTGTCTGCAAAGTGATTGGTTAGAACTCTAGCATATCAGCACCAGAAGGTAAAAATCATTCTGCCAAGAGTTTTTCAAGATTGTATTCCCTAGGGTTCTTTGAAAGTGACTTTGGTACCGTATTGGCAAAGTGTGGGGGAAAAAAATGGAAATGCATCTTCCTTTTTATTGGAACAGTTTTCTTTTCATCTGTTTTATGCATTGGGTTTTTACAAAATTTTTCCTTTTAAAAATGGATTTACTGTTTTAAGAAGAATGTTGAAAATTACTGATAGGTTACCCTTTTACTTTACAGATAAGGAAACAGGTTTAGAGAGTGATTCCTAGACCAGCTTTTTATTGTACCACATTTCTATGATGAGTAGTAGATTTGGGGCAGTTTTTTTTGAGGAAAAGGTAGCAATTTTTCCCTAATCCCTTTTATTTGAGTTCCTCACAGGACAGTAAGCTTCATAAGGGCAGGACTATACATTACTTACCCTTAAATTCCCAGCTCTTAACTGAGTACTTGGCACCAACTAGGCTCTCAGTATGTTTTGTTAAATAAGGTAATTATACTATAGGTAAAAAGTTAATAAGCCAGTGATTAAAAGCATAAATCTATTGGTAGAAAACAAGATAAGGAAAAACTGAGTTTCTTAGTACTTATCGTTATTTTGGAATTTTTTTCAGAAATCTTATAGACTGCTTTTTTTTTTTCCCCCATTCTTTTGAAGGTAGGTAGTCAACAGTGCTATGAGAACTAAGAGCTTTCCTTTTGGGTTACAATAAACCATTTCTTCTGAATATTTAATACAAAGTCATTCCAGCATCAGCAGTTAAAAAGCCAGTGAAGATGATTTTTCAGAAGTTGAATTTTTAGTCTAGAAGAAATAAAATATTAACTTAATTGGCTTCTTAAATATTTTCCAAGAAAATATAAAAAAATATATTTTAATACATAAGATGCTTGAATAGGGTCTTGGTTAAACAACTTTGAGCGGCTGGCTCAAATTTTGCAGGTGAATGTCAGAAAATGCAGGCACAATAAGGCAAGCTTAACACATAGTTGAAAGATGTTTGGTTGAATCACAGACCAGATGACTTGAAGATGAGCAAAGTAGTGTAATTGGTTGGCAAAAACAACAGGCATGACAGTTAAGCACTAAGAAAAACAAGAATAGCACACAGAATGAAGGAAAAAAAGCAAGGAGGCTTAGTGGAGTAAGCAACCAGAGGAAGAAGAGGAGTATGAATAATTCAACACTGGAAAAATTCAGATATCCATTCCCCAGGTACATTAGATAATGGCATGGAATGTTATTTATTATAACTGATATTAAAGATCAGTTTAAAGTATTTATCAGACCTTTCTAAAAAATTTTAGATCAAGAACTTTTACCTTTCTATAATGGTATGTAATAACCGATGTATGTAAATAGAGAAGTTAAAATCATACCTATATATGGTTATCAAGTATTTTAGTAAAATGTAACTAAAAAAATTATGTGGTCTCTGAAAAATGTTATGAGTATCACTACAAATTTGGAAAACTAGAATCATACACATTTATATAGTTTCCCAATTTTCTTATTTTGTACAACAGCACGTAAGCATTCATTGTATGTTGGAGAGTGTAAAGCTGGTTTGTTACCACTGACCCATGTTCCCTTTACTTAAGGGGGGTATAAATGGAGAGGCACTTTTTAAAGTAGAACAAACAAGCAAAAAGAGAAAGGTGTCTTGAACAATTTTTAATAGCCAAGTCTGGACATTTTAAATAAAGTCCGTTTCATTTACAGAAGAGCCTTAGGCAAATGTTTTGTTCAGTATACACAAAAGAGTAACCAGGAAAGCCTTTGTTAAGAGGAATCGTGTGTCTTTTGGTAATCTTCTATATGTCCAGCATGATGCATACTCTCAGAAGAAATTTGCCTTGATATGAGGAATATTATTTGGGATTGTTAGGTACCTAACCAGAATGGGAAAATAAAATATTTGTACTATTTTCAGGCAATAAATGAAGACTATTAGTAGCTAATGCTGTATAATCAAACTCAGGTAACAAGTGGTCAAGTCTAGTTTTCGTGCATTTTATCAAAGTGAAATTTGGGCTGCTTAGTAAAGTAAATTATGACATTGCTGCTAATAGAATTGCAAAAAAACAAAGGTCAGAACTTTTAGAGTGGTCACTTTAGATGCCTTTGCCTCATTTAGATGTTTGCAGACGAAAGAACTTTTTGTTTTGTTTTACACCAACGTGCCTTGCCTGCTTTTTGCTCTAGCTTTTAATTTAGAAGAAGCTACCAGCTTAGCTACTGTTTGAATTCTAGCTAGATAATAATTAACTGGCACAGAAAGTTAATCAACATTGGAAGTTTGATTTGTTTGGGAACATTATGATATGGCATGAATCAGCACCACTAAACATTCTACTGGCTTCTATCCCTAATTTTGATTATGTCTGCTGATAGGAAAAATAATTATGGAATGCTTTATTTTTATAGTGTGCATGTTTTAATGCATGTTTGTAGCTGATTATTAAATGGCTTATCTTTAGCTCTTTTTTTTTTTAAGACCAATTGGACTACTGTCACTAACACAAATTTATTCTTCGTTTCCAGTGCAACGTTTAACTGTCAAAGAATCGACAGACAGTTTGTCCCTAGAGCAGCAATTTTCTCTGAATTATTTGAGGCGGAAGAAAGAACGGCCTTGCATGTTAAATTTATGTGGTACTGAGACATCAGGAGTACTTAGGCCAAGGCAAGCCAGGTTAGACAGCCCACTTAGCAATCGTTATGCAGGAGACTGGAGCAGCTGCGGAGAAAGCTACTTTTTAAATACAAAAGAAAATTTAAATGATGTGGATTATGATGATGTCCCTTCAGAAGATAGAGAAAATGGAGAAGATTATGGCAAAATAGATGGACCAGATATAATGATTGAACAGCCAAACCCCGTATCCAAAGAGTGCACATTCCAGACATATTTTACAATGCAGACAATCGAGTCTACAGCGGATCAAAAAGCCAATCTTAAAGATCTACAAGAAAGTATTGATACTTTGATTGGAAATCTGGAGCGTGAGCTCAACAAAAGCAAACTTAATATGAGTGTTTGAGATTGAGGGTTTTTTTTTTTTTTTTTACATAATGTTTTACTGTTTCAAATCAATCTTTTCTTATACTTCTCACAGTGATGTTTTTTGTACTTGAAATCTTCAGTTTCTAATAAGTTTATGTGATATAATTAAAAAAAACTATTGATTAATATAATTTTTACTCATCCCATTGGAAAATTTTTCCAGGGGTAAAGATAACTTGGACTTCTTGTGGATATTTTAATAAATCTTGCCAATTCTAATGGATATAACTTTTAAATGCACTTAAAAGGTTCAAATAAGTTACTAGCATCTTAAGATTTTTGTCCTTCATGGGAACTGCTCTTCTGTAGCTGAGACAGACTTTCCTTTTAGGGAAATGTTGCAGTTGCTCAGTCTGATTTTCAGTGTGAGTCAGTGTACACTGCAACAGCGTTTGGCCACGTGATTTGCATTTGCATTGCAAAGGCTGCTAAAGAAAACTTTTATAAATAAAAGTAAAATTATACAAAGATTAATGTATTCTATATTAACACTGAATAATTATTTAAGCTTATAAAAAATAAATACTTTTATAATTCTGAAAATATGTATATATTTGTAAGAGCATATATGTATAGGTGTTAGAATGGGGAGTTGGCTGTAGAATCACATGTATCTTTAAAGTATATATGTCAAGAGGCCAAAATCATTAGCTTAAAAATATCTTTTTTCAGGAAAAGTACATTTAAGTTAAAGGAGGAGATATATAGAAACACTTGGACAAAAAGGAAATTATCATTCTAGAAGCATCTATCTAAATAGAAATAATAGACTTTCTTTTATTCACAGAAAGTCACACTATCCCCTGTGAAAGTCATCTTTTAAATTGAAATTCCCTAACTCCTTAAAGGATTAAGTGCCCAGATTTCTGCACTGGCTACTTATTTAAAAAAAAAAAAAACAAACTTCACCTACATTCTGTGCTTTTTTATATTCTGCTTTAAGTGTTTATTTATAATAGTATATTTGTAGCATTGACTTTACAATTACCCCCATTTGTTTCTAAAGAAATCTTGCTACTATACTACATGTTATTGATTTTTAAAAATTAACTTATTTTGGCTAAGTATATCTAGAAGGTAGTCATTATAACAATCACAGCAGTGTTTGCAAATGTAAATTTAGGAGGCTTTTTTTAAAAAAAAATTAAATCAGAATGTATTTTCTTAAACTTTTATACTTATGGATTGTGTAATTTTAAAATTATAAATAAAATTTGAATTACCAACTTAAATGTGTAGCAGCCATTAAAAAAAACTGACTTGATGTTTTTCTAAATATTAAAGTATTTAACTATTTCTATGCAATATACATTGGTAAAGAGAACACATTATTTAATTTGAAAACCCAATTGTTTAAAAACCAGGTGAATAACTATTTTTCTAAGAAATTTTCATTTTTTAAAGCTTTGTATACTGATTCAGAAGAATACCAAAAAAAATGTGACAGGTCTATGTATTGCCTAAGCTGTCAAAGAAATGTACTTTGAAATGTCTTATAGGAAGGCGGTTTCAGTTTTCTTCATTTTATTTGCTATATTGAGTATATTGTATAAATTGAAGAAGTTCTAGAAATGTAAAAATTTTATTAAAATATTATAACCTTGGTATCATGCTATTACTTATCACAGTGATTGTAAGGATCATTTATTTTAATATTATTCTTTTTAAACAATGATATTAAAGCATTGGACTGTCATGTATTATTCATAAATGTATGTAATAACATTTATTTGTCCAAAATTTAATTTTCTGAATCTGAAATATTTTAAGAGTATTTTGTTAAATTATTTTAGTTAGGAATATTTTTAAAATTGATCTCTGCCATCTTAAATAGAGAATACTAAAAATTTTTTGTTGTCTAAATCACCAAGTCATAAGCCTCTTTTATTGACCCTGCTGTTTTCAGTAGGGCTGAATAAGTTTTAAAGTATTTACTTTAAATGGTCTTTTACTTCAAATACTTATTTGTTTTTATACCTGCTTTTTATAACTTCCTGAGATCTTCCTACACTTTTAAACTGAGCCTGTCAGCCTAGTGCTTTTTAGGATTAAAAACAATTTTAATGCATGTACCTGCATAAAAATTTTAAACAATTCAGATGAATAGAAAATAAAAAGTAAAAGTGCTCCTCCTTGCCATCCACACCGATCCGCCCTCTTACATGTAACAACCACTTTTTATTCTTCAGGTAGTCACCTCCATCCCTCTGCTATGTTTATTGCTGCTGTTTCTTGATTTGTCATTGAGCAGTATCTGTTGATTGTCCATTAAAAATGATAGCAGTTTATCACACTCCCTTCCTTCTCCCCATTCTTGTTAGTTATGTTTTTAGTTTTTCTTTTGGTTTCCTATATAACTTTAGGTAGTAACCTTTATCTCTGGATCCATCGATTTTTAAATGGTATCTCTTAACTCTCTACCATTGAGAAAATGATCAATCCTGTACTGATGTTCCAACTCATTACTGCTCTTTACCTCCTAATTTCTGTCAGTTATACTACTATTTTATATAATGAATATTTATAGATATGTATTATTTTGGGGAACAATAATTGACTTAGTTTCTCCTTTATATATTGCTTCCCAAAACTGCAAATCAATAACCGGCAGTCATGCTAGATTATGCAAAAGTATTCACAGGTAAACCAGGTGATTTTACCTCCTTCTGTGTACCCAGTCTTATATCCTCAAGTCTATGCTGATTTAAACAGAATGTTCCAAAGGTGAAGGTCAAATGGTTTATCTTACAGCCATCACCTTCTCAAAATCATGCCATGTGTTACTGGCTTCATAATTGGGTCATGGATTTTGCAGATTTTTGTTTTTCCTGGAGTATGTAATTGCTTTTTTTTTGACAGAAGAAAAATTCTTCATTATAACCCTGAGATTATTTTAAGCTTCTTTTAATCATACCATTGAATTACCAAATTTGTTCAGAGTGCTTTCAGCTCTCATCCTGGGATTCCTAAAGTATATTCTTGCCTTTATTTTTTCTTTGACAGAAGAAAAATATCTTCTTCACTGTAACCCTGAGTTTATTTTAAGCTTAATCAAATTTATCAAATTTAGGCAAAGTGATTTTAGCTATCATCTTGGGATGTATTTTCTTTGTACTCCTATGTTCCGCCTCTCCCTGGATCCCACTCTTTCTTGAATTCCTTTTTTCTTTTGGTATGCGGAAGTATATTCACAAGTATTACCTCCACCCCCCACCCCTAGAAAGGAAGCATGGGAGATAAACTTTGGGTCACTGAATGTCTGACAGGCATTTATTTCTCCTCCACACTTCATTTTTGTTAGACTTGCCATTGTAGGTTCAAAATCATTTTCCTTTAGAACTTTGAAGGCATTTCTATATTTAAGCGTCCAGTTTTACAGTAATCCAAGTAAGAATGGTGGTTGTTCAGATCAGGGTAGAAGCAATAAAGGTGAGAAATGGCTGGATTCTGGATATATTTTGAAGTAGGAGCCAAAAGGATCTGCCAGTGGGCTGTGAGAGAAAGGAGTAACGCCTGAGCAACTGAAGAGTGGAATTGCCATCAAATGAGATTGAGACAGAGCCATCATATTTTTAAAATGATTTCCTTGTTTTGGATGTTAGTAGTAATACAGTGCCTATAGAAATGCCTTATAATGTCCTGTTAACTATAAGTACTAATGTTTCTCTACGTGGAGATGATGCCCATAGAGTCACTGCTAGAATAAGAAAGCAAGAAGACTCCATGTCTAGGCAAAGTTTGGGAAATTCCAGATTGCGTACCTTTATACTAGGGGCCTAAACAAACAAGTTTGGGTAGTGTTACAGTTCTTGGGAAGAATTTAGTTTCTAGACCACAGAAAGAGTTTGAGGGTTAGAGTTTTATAATTTTAAAACATTAATGTTTAGGTCCTTGGCTTGTGATAAAGCTGTCTTATGTTTACTAATAACAAATCCTAATTTGAGTCTTACTGACCTGAGGACATTGGTACAAACAGGAATGCTCTTTTGCTCCTTTCTCTGCCTAATTTTCGTTTTTAATGCAGTAGGGCTTTGATGTGATAAACTTAAGTACCAAATTGGTTGCATTCTGACTCAGCCAAAAACTGGCTCTGGCTAACTCCGACAGAAATTGAATTTATTGGAAAAATAATGTCTCAGAGGAAAAGCTGTTTTAGGGTGCTGAAAGTGTTTGATATCTTGATCTGGGTGGGGGTTTCACAGATGTTTATGTACATACCAATTGCATACTTAAGATTTTTGCACTTTATAAAGTCATACTTCGACTTTGTTTAAAGTCAATTAAAACTAAAAACTGGGAAATCTGCAAAAGTAAACTTGGAAAATAAGCAAAGACAAGGGGCCCAGAGGTCAGTATGACAGCAATCAAGGCAATGCTGCTGCAGCCACCACCACCAAACAGCCCCACACGCGCTGCTGGAGCTGATTATAAACCATCCCTCTTCTCTGCATCATTCCTAATTCAAAGTCACTGACTTTGAATCACACTGGCTGAACTTGGGCCATACAGTTGTGCCCCAGCTTCCAGGAATTAGTCATTAGCTAGTTATTTGGCAACCATCCTTTCCCTAAAACTCACACAGTAGTAAATTCTATGAATACAAGAAGGGATTCAGATGCTGAGCAGACAAAACTGGCAAATGTGTACACTTCCCTAGTCTTCATTTTACCCAGTTGCCCCAGAATGGGGGTCTTTCAGCCCCATTTCCAACCCATCAACAGGTCTGGCTACTATATAACCTATCCTGACACTGCCCTTTGTCACTGCTGGCACCCTAGTCCAAACCACTGTCATCTCTCAGTCTCTTCCTGTTTCATCTCTTGCTATCTCTCTCCCCTCCCACAATCCATTCTATCCATAGAAGCTAAAGTAATCTTTTTAAAAGATAAATCACATCATTTCCTAGGCCATTTCCCTTGCTGTCCATGCTTTAGTGATTCTAGGCTTTATTTCTGTTCCCCAGGCGTATGGACCTCA